TTAAATATATACGATCTCAACATGGATCGATATAGATTTATTATTATTTTTAGATTTTATAATTAAAAATGAATATTCTATAATTGTAATTTCTAATCGTTTATTCGAGTCCTAAACACACGTTCACACGTTTGAGCCTAGGTCGATTGTTAAATTTTAATTTTTGTAATATCAATAAAAAATAATCACAGAGAGATAACAAATAATATCTGTAATAACGACTAACGATGATTAATATACATAAATGAACTACAATTTTATTCCCGCCCGTTATTAAAAATCTCCCAAAGACTAAATTATCCTGAAATTACTATCACCGGGGTTCACTATCACTGTCGTTTATTAATTATTCTCATTTTTGTTTGTTGATGTTGCCATTATTTTCACTGTTAATTTATTGTAGGCCGTTAAAAATGATACACAAATGTTTACTATTATTATTATTATGGTTTTGCTTGAATATAAAATCTTGTAAACATTAATTTTGGATTTTGAGAACAGGGAGTAATTTATTTGTTTTACGATTATGTTATATGTTTTTAGATTCTGAGCGCATTTTAAAGTCAATGGTTTTACTATAGTATGACATGTTTTTTTTTCTGTCTATAACCAACTTTTGTTTTGTATACCAAAAATCTTATTTCGATTTTTAAGTAAAACATATTTTCTGAAAAAATTTTTGTTTAGTTGCTGAAGAGGTAATTTTTTAAATTTAAATTTTTGCTCGCTTAGTAGTTAAAATAAACCTGGATAAACATAGAAAAAAGGAGAAAATGTACGCAATACCGTTCCGTTATTTTCCATTGTGTTTTTTGTTGTAGCTGGATAAAAAATAATCACAGAGACCTGAAATTTTCATAAAATACTTATTTTAGCTATTTTAGCTATCTTAGCTTATAATAGTCCTCTTTCTGGACGTGTTAAAATGTTTTTAATATTCTGACGACTTTTGAGCTATTTATAGACGTTTAAAACGTTTGATTGGTTTTAATTTTAATTTTGTTCGATGTGGATAAAAACTTTTTGATGAGCAGATAGTGTTTGAAAATTAACACTAAGTTTGTCATAAATTGTACTTAGTGGTAAAGCGTTTTAAGTTTAAAATTTGACGAAAATTGTAAAATTCACGGCAATTCAAAACACATTTAACCGAACTTCGCTTAAAATCGTATTTTATCTGCAATGATGTATATATTGCTGTGTAAAAAATATATAAATTAATTAACTATTTATGTATTCTACCTTTTCAACTTTCCACCTATACAAAATGTGACATATCCGTTAGCAGTATCAGCTCTTTTTTTATTCGGGTATGTTTCTGTCGGTTACCTTCTATAAGAGATATATTTAACAACATAAGTGCGGTAAAAAAAAAATTAAAATGGATAGGTAGGTAATTAAATAGGCTCTTAATATTGTTTCGGGACTTTAATTAATAATGTGTACCCTCTAAACTCAAAGTCTGGGTCTGACAAGTCTTTAGTATACCTACACATATATTACATGTATACCTGGTGTATACATTTTGCATTTATATATTTTAGTAAAATATCAGTAAAATGATTTTACTGGTATTTGAAACCTACAGGCACGTATATAAATAGGGTTTTGGGAGTTCAAAAATGCTATCTACTTCCACGCATCATATATTACTACTCTTTTCTTCTTCTTCTTCTTTTATAAAGGCTGGGCCTTATCATAGTGAAAAAAATTGACTTTCAATATTCTTTCTTTAATGTTAAAGTATTATATATACCCGTTATATCCAGTCATTTCAATCATCTCTCCTATGAATGTTTTTCTCAGTCTTCCTCTTCTTTTGTGTCCATTGATTCTTTCTTTCATCTTTGTATTTCTACTATAGTTCTATAATTCAAAATATTTGATTATTTGACTTCCCTCTCCCCTCCCGAATTTGTTTTTTTATGCATTCCTATTTAAAACTTTATTATTATTAAATATAAATTATAGTTTACATCTTTTAAAAATATAATTATGTTAGTTTGGTTTTTAGAATGAAAATTATTTGGTATTAATCATTGGTTGGGTATTAGTTATGATGACTTTTTTTGAATAATCCAATTCTAATAGGTACGTATTTGTTATAATGTATATTATATTATTCGTCATAAAATGTTTCATTTTAACACACGCTGTGTTTGTAAATTATATTTAGTTAAACCGACCAACCTTAACCTACAAAATGTGTGTGTCGACACATTAACGACTGTCAGCAAATACAATTAATGTTTCCAAAATATTGCCAAAACTTCAATGTTTAATTTAAAGTTAAAAATCATTTAATATACGTCTATCGTTGTTTCAATAGATCCCTATTATATTATTTACTCTGTTTATTATAGTATATGTGACTTGTAGTTTTGTTTCAAAGAATTAGGACACAGGTAGTTTATAACAATATATACAGAGTAACCTATATGTAATGAATGATCAATGAAATATGACTTTTTTTATTTTTATTATTTATACATGGACATATAAATTATACCGTGTGCATCATTAATATTGATGGATGGATGTTTTTTATCAGTTTTTAAATAATGTCGATAGATATAATGTGTATTGTATTATGTATGCACATTATATATGGGTACCTATATACTTTGTATTTACGCCCACTGCAACCTATAATAATATACTACCTATGTTCCGTGAGTTAAAATGTTAAAACATTTTTTTTTAGATTCTGAGCGGAGCGAACAATGTATTTTGGTTTTACAATAATGTTTAATTATTATTTTTAATTTTTCTACCAAAAATTTTACTCCGATTTGCAAGTGTAGTATTTTTTCTGAAAGGAAATCTGACTGGGGTGGTACTTTAAACAGATCAATTTTTGATTTTTCCATTGGTTTTCATAATAAATGGAAAAAATTGGGATAATTCACAAAATTTATTATTTTACGGCCTTTTAAAACGTGTATAACCGAACCCCGCTCCGAATCGTTTTTCTTTAACAATAATTAATTATTGTGTACAGATATATATTAAATTTCTCCTCCATTTTCCCAACTTCCCATTAACAACAGTGGTACCTCCATCGAACGAAGCATATGTTCGTTTGTTTTTTTTTTATCTTGACTATATTATAGATATTATAATAAAATGTTTTGGTGTTGCTAGTATTTGAAACACAAGTTTATTATTATTATTATTATTATTATATACTTGTTATTTCTTGTATAATTATTTATAAAAGGAAGTATCGGTTGATTTGTTTGTTTGTTTGTGCACGATGCACATTGCACAGCCGAATCAATAGATTTGCACGCAGAGGTCTAAAAGTGGATAAACGGGTTCATAATCTTATATGTGCACCTCGATGCCGGATTTCCAAGACTCACTATCCCTAATGGATGGGTGGCTCACATTGGATTTTTGTCTTTTTAGAAAGGAAAATTGAACTTTTTTGATAATTTGTTGGTTACCTATAGTGGCGGGTGAAAAAAAGAATGGTTATTATTGGTTAATTTAGTTTTCACGGACAGGAAGTACAACAACGGTTAACTGTTATTGGAACGAGGGTGGAAACGGGGATAGATATACGTTAAGTGGATTTCGGTTTTTGAAACGATTTAAAAAAAAAATTAGATTGGGACGAGTAAACCCCCACCAGACAGGACAGCGCGTAATAAATAATTTTATAATTGTATTAATCTATCTAGTAAATATATAGTATTGTAATACATGTTATAATCGAATATAAATAAATAATGGATAATGGATATACCTACGATACAAACGCCTCTGCAATAGTGAATTACTTAGAGGTTCTTCGAAAATAATAATTGTTAATAATTCGATATACTCGTGTAACATGCGTGCCAATAAGAGTAATTTTTTTTTTTATATTACCTATAGTATATTATTATAGGTAATATTATACAATTGTATACGTATAACTTCGTATTATTCGAACCGAGAATATATCGTGAACTCTTTCCCATAATATTGAACAGTTTTTAATTTAGATTAAAACATGACCACGGCGACGATGACGTGCAGAATTTAGGCACCTATACTTAATATATTTGTTCTAAGTATTGAAAAAAAAAAAAAAGAAAAGAAAAGAAGAAGCTGTTAAGTGTGTTTGTTGTTTTGTTTCCTCGAAGCCAAATCCAATATTATCACGCGTGTTATCCCGTCATAAAACCTACGTACGTATATGTAGGTACTCGGGGTCCTCGGGATATTGACATCTTAAGTGCGGACAGTGATGCTGGGCGCCCGCGTAACGGTTTTTCATTAAAGGGTTTCTCGTCTCCTACCCCGTCCCTCGTTCGCGCGCAGTCTTGTTTTAAGCGCGTAAACAAAACCTCACGCTGGATATATATATGTATACGTAGAAGAGCGTTTTTAATCATAATATTTAACATTATGGCGTAGCGTTTTTATAATATTATAATGCAAAATATTATTATAAACGTCCGCGTAAAAACTGTCGTGAAATTTTCTCTCCTATACGTATATTGTATTATCTTGTATATAATAATATTAGACTACGTATATGTATATACGTATTACAATATATATATATATTATATACACAAATATACGTATGTATACAATATACTTACTCGTCGCAGTCGATTGCCCGTGTGCAGTATAATATTATTATGTACACGATATACATACACACACGCCCCCTCTCTCCCGCGTACGCCCCCTCTACCCCGTCAACAGCCGTGGCGGGACACCGAAAACCACCGACGTCGCTGCCGCCGACGCCGCCGCCGCCGCCGCCGACGCCGGGAACCCACCCCCGGACCGATCGACTGGATAGTGTTAATCACGCAAACGCGGGATGCCGGCCAAGTTTGGAACAAACGCCTCGTGAAAATATATTTTTCTTCCCGTACACCATTCGGCTTTTGTCGCGCACCCGGACGCCACGTCTACTCGCATAATATAACACGACCGTTGCGGGCGTCGCGATCGTCGCGCGTTTCCGTTGCCGTCGCGCCTCCGCCGTCCCGTTACTACAATATTATTATTATTGTTGTTAAAACCGCGACTGTGATCCCGCGAACCGGCACACATCGAACCGTTTTCGTTTTTTACTTGTTTTTTTTTTTTTTTTTTTTTTTTCATTTAATAAACTAATACAATTTTTATTTTCGTTTTTCCTCGGACGTACCGGACGTATTTATCATATGCGGTTCGAAAATCGTCCGAAAAATAACGCGCGTTTTTTTCCCCGTAAAAGATTAACGGCGTTAAAAGGTTAAAACATGTACGGTTTTACCGCCTATAAACTACACACGGTCACTCCGAATCCATGTAAGTATATTATATACGTATATTTAATAAATATTTTTATTGTTTAGGCGTGCATAATAAATCGGTTACGATTTTTTTTTTTTTTTTAAATTTTAGTTATAATAGGTGCAATACACGAGTTACAAAAATGCCAAGGTCTTTCATTCTAAATTCGTCTTTATCTTATGTTTCTGAATGTAGGTGTACGCGTGTTTACGTTGGTTTTAAAATTAAAGTTGAATTTTCTAATTACAAAGTTAACGTTCGTTTTATATTTAACTCAGTACAAATAAAATAATATTTAGGGCAGGTGATTGATGAGATAGATCATTTTTTGGATTTTTAGTTTACTAATCCTATTAAAGAGTCTAACCTGAAAGAGCTAATACTCATTAAATAATAAATAAATATATATGACATATGTATAATATACATTGTATATAGATAAAAAGTAGCCTGAATTTGTAATAATTTTTTCAATGGTTATGGCTGGTTTCGATTCCGAAAAATCATCAAATCGTTGAGGTAAAATTATATGTGATGCATATTATAGTACAATTAGATATTTGCAATATTCATTGATTCATTACCTATATAACATTCATTGTAGGTATACACCAAAAAATATTAAAAAAATTTGAATTTAAAGCAAAAAACAATAATAATAAAGTATATAATATTAATATACAGGTATTAATAAAATTATACCGTTCAACGTAAATTACTATTATTTTATTTTATTAATAAAGAATACAATGATTTGGTAACTATTAAAAATGTATAAAATAACCTTTGTGTTCAAATCCAATGAAAATATCAGTTTTAACTTTAGTAAATATGCCATGAATCTATAGTTATTGAATAGATATAAACTACTAACTAGACAATTATTGGTTGACACTTGATTAATGGAATGGAAATCATTAGAAGTTCACAGTATAACTATTAGTTTAAACCGAGATTTAAACTCTGTATGTATAATATACGTTTAGAATGAACTATGAATCAATATATATATATATGTAAATAAATAAATAAACTGCGTAATGAAAAACTATTTAGGTATTTACCTAATACATTATGTAATTTAATTTTTGTTTACGCTATTTATTCTTTTATTTTTGTTTACGATAAAATCTGTTTTCCTCTATTAAACGAATTAAATAAGTGCTAAATAGTTGTTTTATTTACATCACCTGAAACATAAACTATAAATAATAGATTACTTTTCTCGTCCGCTCAATTTTAGAATTTAGAGTGATAGTTTGGTATCCCTACTTAGCGAAAGACCAGTTTAGGCTAGAGAGGACACAGAAAAGGTTTATTTCATATATTGGTTTTTTACTCAAAATTGATCATTCCCAACATGATGACTACTCAACCGTACTTAGAGCACTAAATATCCACACACTATATCTTCTCGTCGAATCTATGCTGATTTTCGTCTACAGATGCCCCAGACCTTCTTTTCTCTATTAATTTACGCATCCCGATTTATCCCTCAATGCATCATTATCCCTATTCACTCCACCTCTTCTGGTCACAATCATCCGCTACACACTATGTTTCGTAGTGCCAATAACGCCATTTAGTACATTCTAATTTGTTATCTAAGTATTTACTTTTTGTTGTCTGGTATCTGTGTATAACTCTATATTTTATTGTTTATTGAATTTTTTAATTAAAATTGTATACAAAAATGTTCTTATTTTGTACTGTTATCAATCAACCAACTAATTAATGTACGTTTCTAAGATTGTATTTCCTTGTAAATTGTCGTATAGCGTTAATAAATTAAATAGTACTAAAATTATGTTTTCTTCAATACCCCAATTTATCGATTAAAATTGATAATATTGAAATTAGTTATACAAAATAAAACTTATACTAAATATAGGTTCATGCTTTTTTTCATTTTTTCATTTCTTTAGTGTAACTTCTATTACCTTAATGCTTAGTTATTTCGTTTCAAACATTTTACAAGGGTAACAAAATATTTTCTTCCCAATAATGCTCTTTACTCTAGACTAGCAGACTGTAACCTATTTGATGACCTTTTTTTACGCTTTGCTTGTTTTCACTCTCTTATAGAAGGGTTTTACTACATTATAACAAGCCAAAAAAAGGTAATCAAATTAGTTTCTTGAGCCACAAAAAAAACTCTGTGGCCTACTGCTTACCGTCCGCTATACTATCCAATCAAATCGATAATATATAGTAGAAAAACCTACATTTTCTGAAAAACAAATCGTGCCTGAGCATAGGTATTTTTAAACATAAGTAAATCAATAAAAGTTAATTAAATTATTATTATATTTTTAACATTTTATGAATTTAAAGTACCATTAAATTGAATTAAATTTTTTTTTTTCAAATTCTAGATAATAGGTAATAAGAAGTTTTAATTTTTTTTTTCATGATTTTTTTGTTTCTCTTGATAATACGAATAACATAAATTATATTATTTGTATTAATTTGGTTCTCTGAGATATGGCTGGTCTGCATCAGCAGGATCTACATAGTAAGTTAATAAATTAATAAATAAAAATAAATAAATTTTATTACATATTCACTTTTAATGCTCAATACCTACAGATACCGAATCATAATTATTATTGTCGTTAGCAAAATAGTTGTGTATTAAATTAATTAATTCTACTGTTTTGAGATGACCAAAAGATTGTTTACGTTTTTGCTTTACCCCGAAATGTACCATCTGATTTAATATTATAATCTGTGATATTTCAATAATTTAGCTTATATGAAAAATAATAATGCATTTTATTAGAAATGCATACAAAGTATATTTTGTTCATTCCAAAAACAAATTAAATATAGGTATTTTATAGGTGTGCCTATACATTTTAAATTAATATTCGAGATCTGGACTTTGTCAATATTTACTAAATTTATATATTTAGACAAATGTATAAAATATCAAAATGATTTTTAATTTTTAATCACAAAAATATAATTTTCCATGACGAGAATAAATTTTATAAAAACATAAATCATCAATGTATAGGTATATAATATAATATACAAACAATATTTAGTACGCATTATAGTACTAAATATTTGGCATAAATTGAAATTTCGATAAGAGACGCGTGAATCGAGTGTCCCTAATGGCTACTGTACTAGATGTTATATTTAGGTACTATTAAATTCTGATTGATGTGAGATTATTGGTTTTACAGCGGCTTCTATTATTTATAAATATAAAGCAAATATAGCACTTCAGTTTTGTATTTCAGTTTTTAAATTGATTAAAAATTGTATCTATATGTGTAAAACAGGCATGTATATTCATGGGATCTGAACCTCTGCCCCCCCAAAATTAAGCTTCTCATCAAATAAACAGGTAATACTTTGATTTTCTACCTGTAACGTTTTATTTTTTTTTCCCCTTATAATATTGATAGTTGGTGATAAATTTTATGTTTTCACCCCTACCCCCCAAAAAAAAAAAAAAATTCTGGCTACGTGTCTAGTGCAAAACCTAATACGTAACTTCTTATATTATTTTGTGCCAATCTAGTAAAAAAAAATTATTGGTTTGGAAATAAATTAAAATTTTATCTAAATGTATTAATTCATATCAGTATTTTTTATTTATACATATTATAATGTACCACGCGTACATGTTTATGTTACAGTCAATGTTAAAAATTGAATAGTGTCAACTTTTCATTGAGTAGAACCGACATTGTGATTTGTGATGTCAGTTTTTAATTTAGAGTACATTGGTTTATTATCAAACTTAAACGTAAAAAGATGTCTTAGGATAATGGGAACGGGTACAGACAATGTTATAGATTATTTAATGTATACCTATAAGCAACGATGAACCTTTGAAAAATCGATTCTGAGCGGAGTACAGTTGATAATGATGTTTTGTCAATAATATATGCCATTTTATAGTATAATTAAATAGGCTTTATATATTTTCTTTAATAATATTTGTTTAACGTTGTACCAATTTTCCCAGTTTTCCTACGTTTTTCCCGGTTTTTCATATTTTCTGGAAAAACTCTTAGGAAAATCAAAAAATTACCTTCTTAAATTACTTTCCCAGTCAAATTTCCTTTTAGAAACATTGCTATCATTATAAGTTGGAGCGAAATTGCTGGTAGAAAAGTTGTGGAACAACACAGGAAAAAAAAATCATAATATTATAGTAATATATTTCGTACATTTTTCTGTTTTTTTTCCGGTTTCCAAATTTTATGAGAAATCTCTTGAGGAAATCGAAAAATTACCTACTTAACGTACCTATCTACACCGATTTCTTTTCAAGGTGCTACACTAAGAAATCCGAGCAAATTTTCTGGTAAAAAACTTGTTAACAGATAAAAAAAAACATCTTTGTATAACCATAAGCTTCTTCGCTCCACTCAAAATATAAAATATTGTCTGTATTTGTACGTTGTTTTTTTCACTATTTTAATTTTTAAGTGACATACGAATACATGTGAAATATTACAATTTAGAAAACATTGTACTAAAAATCACTTAAAATGTATAAATCTAAAAAAAAAGCGTACAAATACAGACGTTGTTCTTATTATTAAATTTGATAATAAATTAATTTATTCTATTTTTAATTTTAAACTAACAGCACAAAATCGGTTTAACTGAACGAAAAGTTTACATTTTCAAATTTTCAACAAATAGCCGTAAAATATTCTTATGTATATATATCTATTTAAAATAAAAATGCTTAAAGTTAGATATTTGAGTTACAATATTATAATAACTGTGAAGTTTATAGGGTTTAGATAGTGTTTCAGTTTTTGTTCTACCTATAGTAAAATATTTCAATTTTAGTACGAGTTTTATAAGTTTTACAAAGTGTTTATTTCGAGAATAACTATTATACTTATTTTCAAAAATTATAATTTAGAATTACATGCATTATATTTAATTAGGTATTAAATTTTAATTCTGAACTTAGGATAGTTTTTTTTGTAAGCTATAATTATCATATCCAAAATACTTAAAAATCACAAAAATTTTATTGTTATTTGCTTCTAAAAAAATTAAATAGACACGTAATTGATATATCTTTAATACCATCTTCATTTTATATCCATTATTTATACTAATATCATTAGTTTATTTCAAAAGAAACATGTAAATTTAAAACCTAAGTAATTAAATATTTTAACAATTATAACTATTATATTACAATTTTCTATACCTACCTAATGACTATTTAGTGAAGTAAAATATGTTTTTTTGGTTATAATATAAAAAATATAAATAATAATTAACTACTCAGTAACAAAAAAAAGGATGAATAATAACGATTATGAATATAGTTCAAATTTATATGACCTCTACAAGGTATAACTAGGTATGGCTATATAATATATGCATATGAACAACTTGACCTTATATATACTTTTATTTGGTAAACATCATTTAAGTGTATGACTTTTATAAGAACTTAGATTGAACATGTTTTTGTATACAAAATTATTGTAGTTAAGAAAAATAATTTAATTATAGATTGCAATTACTTCAGCATACATGCAAATATGTTGATGCTGTGGCATCATTTTATATCCTAATCGAAACATACATAGATTAATAGTGTTTTAGTTTTAAAAAATGTATTTATACAATAATAATAATACTTTTTGAGGAAATAAATACCTATGGACAGGGAAAAAATCTTATGATTAATATTACATGACTTATTATAATAAAGCAATAAAAAAATGTATTTTGTTGAGATTTTATTTATTAATATTATTTATGAATAAATGAAATTATTTATGACTAATAGGCAGGTCAAAATAAATGTGGATAGATAAAATTGAAAAAAGTTAGTAGAAATTGAAATACGAGATAGAGAAATATTGGTATAGGATAGGAATAGAAGCAGGTTTATGTTGCGTTAATAGGCAACTAGTTTCCAAATGAAAATCGAAAAAAAAACATAGGAAATGTAAGATAGTTAATGACATTGATAGTTTTAATATTTTTAATTTTATTTCTGATAGTAAATCGGTTTAAAATTATTATAGAGAGCTGACATTTCTACAAAATACTTATTTATATAAGCCTTTCCTAGACCTGGTAAAATTTTTAAAATATTTTGACGATTTTAAATACATTTTTAAACATTTCATATTTTTTAGTTTTTATTTAGTAGGTAGATGATTGAAAATTAAACACGAGGTCATTATAAACTGTACTGAATAGTGAAAAAAGAAAAGTTGAGTATAATGTAGTAGTGTTTTTGATTTAAGATCGTCTAAAATCAAATGTTGACGAAAATCGTTAATACTATGGCATTTAAAACACGTGTAACTGAATTAGCTTAGAATAGTATTTCGTTACTAATAGTTAATCGTTGTGATAGATATAAATTAAATTATTTCATGTATCTTACCTTCCCAAGTTTCCACTTGCAACAGTGACACACCTATCAACAGTATCTGCGCATTTTTTTTTAATGGTATTTCTATTGCTCCTGTAATTGCTGATAATATTATATTTTTGAGAAGTAAAAAGTTAGATAGTTAAACTAATTTTATAAAAATTATTTTTATAATTTCTATGTATTGATAATAAACAAATTATTAAGTTAAATAATTAAATATTATCAATTATTCTTTCATATTTGTAGTTAAAAATGATTTTATATTAATTTTAAGTACCCATGTTTGAATGGAAATTCATTTAACATAATAAAATGTCAAATTTATTAAAATACATTTGTTTTAATCTAAAAATAATTTTTATTTCAACACTTTAATTGAATTCATTTTTAAGATGTATCTATCTCATATAAATATCCGAAAAACCGATTGTGACATTTGATTGTTATTTCTTCTCATATTTGTATTAAGGAATCATCCTTTTATTTCTTTTTGTCTATCTTCATTTAGTACTAATAATAAATTTAATAATATTAAATCAATTTCAGTTTTGACGAAGTTTTCTTAAATAAAATGTGTATGTATAACTATAAGTTACGACTGACATCGTAAGTCCCGTTTTACATTTTGACTGTGATATACCTGATAATGAATTTGCAATGCATTTATTCATTTATTGTTTTTTTTATTTTAGATTTCGAGCGTAGCGAAGGAGCTATGGGTTTTACAATGCTGTTTATTTATTTTTCTTCTTCTTTTTTTCTTTGTTCTAGTTTGTGGCCACGTTTTTATCTAGTAAACTTCTTTCGATTTTTATGTGTAGCAACTTTCCTGAAGGCTCAAGTTGTCTAGATTGTAGTTTAGAGAGGTCATTAAGAGGAAAACGTACAATTTCACGATTTCGTTATTTTATAAAAACGACGTTTTCTACCAGAACAAATGATTTAATCGAAAAATCACAAGATACCTTTTTTGTTGCCTTTTTGATTTACTTTCTTACGGTATGATTTTGATCCACTTTTGAGATTTTAAAGAATTACAATTTTTTAGAGTTGTTTTTCTGTAATTCAGTTATAAACGTAGATACTTGAAACTTGGTAATAATACTTATATTGGACTTAGACGTGGTAAAAGTTTTAAAATCATCGAATGACTGTTTTTTTTTAATAAGCGTTTTGAAATAAAATTTAAACGAAAATCATAAAAAAAATTATGAAAATTCAAATTATGCATTATCGAAATGCGCTCGGAATTGTCTTTCATCAAGCAATAGTGTTCTCGTTGATTACAGATATAAATGAAATAATCTTATGTATCCTACGTTCCCAACTTCTAACCTACAACAGTAGCCGTTCCTATTCCTAGTATCAGTTCTTTTTTTTTATATATACACAGTTTTTATTTATGTATTTATTTACTATAATTATTATTTATTTTTGAATATATAATATTTAAATTAAGTACATTATTTATAATTTTATTTCAAGTATAATTTATTAAATAATATTTTTGACTTAAATTTTCTTTAGTTTAGATTTTTTAAAGAAATTATTGGTATTATTAGAAAAAAGAAATAAAGAATTTTTCTCTTATTTTGTCCTTGTTGGAAATTGAGCTAGTTCATGGTTTTTATGTGGAGCCAAGGTTATTCATTTTGATTGGAAATACATAAACTAATAAAATCAATTTCATTAATTTTTAATTTCACATCTTTGATAGATTTTTAATGGCTGCTTTATTTGTATACGAAAACAATTTTTTTTTAAATTAAATTTTAGTTTTTCACCTTTATAAGGTAAATATAGGTCTGCTGATAAAATATTTTTGATTAGTACTTTTGACAGTACCTATATAGAATGTATACAAAATATGAAATACTTATAGGTACCAATTAGTTATACTTATTGATTTATCATTTTAATGGCTAATTGAAGCAATTTCGTAGTTGGAAAGTCACTTAGGTATAATTATTTATACAGAATAAAATCAGTTCATAATTATAACTAATATCTAAAGATAAGTTTTTTTTAATAATATTTAAGTTAAATATAAAAAAAAACCGTGTATTCTTTTCGTTCGTATGATCCTGGTTATTTAGGATGAAGACCTAGGAGCACATATTACATTTAGTGTGAAGTAGATATTATATTATATAGAAAGTGGCATTGATTTATGTGTGATTTGTGAATCGGACTAGACACTCTGCTCCTTTTACATTATTGTCATCTTGACTTGAATGCATTTATCTATATATGTGTCCAAACATACAATGTCCTATCATTTTAGTTTACTAATGTGTTTCAGGTCGGTCGACCGATACTGGACGAAGGCCATCTGCCACTGTTCATTTTAATCAGAAAATCCCATTCAATAGCGTCACAGACCATACGTACAAATCAAAAGATGTAAGTCAATTATTAGTTACGAGTTAAATTATTGATTGCGTAGATAAATGTTAAGAATTAAATAAGCTATAGTGTTTCTTTAACTTTCCCTTGTTCAGTATAATTTGTACATACAATTATACATTTAGTCCTCAAATATTGTTTACTAGGAACTAATAGAATTGAATACATTTTCATCTTATAATGTTTAGTTTTGGTTGGTTATTTCTTTTTAAGTTTATACTGACAATTCAATACTATAGGTATTTTTTCTAAAGTATCATTTGTGTACAACCTAAATATATAATACGCTGCCGTACTAGGTTAATTTAATTATGTTTAGATAGTTAGCCAATTATCAAAAATAATTAATTAAACGACTGTTTTGTGCTTTTATTTTAAGAGTATAAAAACTGTGAAGGTACATTTAATTTTTAATTATACATAACATACAAATTGTATACCTATCTATAATATATTTTTAGTACCTAAATTATTATATAGGTGTATGAGACAATGTATGTCTGGTTGCAGTGGCACAACAAAGGGGCCCACAGTGGGCCAAAATGTAAAATAATAGGACAAAAATAAAATGATTATTCAATGTTATTAGGTAGGTACAATATTGACGCATGTATGAGTCAATAAAGTATTTGTAAAAATAACACAAACACCACGTTTATTCTGTGTGAAAGACACGAAATCGTTCCATGAGTATACCAAATTTTATAATACAATATTACGTTCAAAACAAAATTTTTTTCGAAGTAATTTGTATTATAGTTTATCATGAATTCTACATAGATAATTAGTTCAGGTAATGAATAAATATATATTTTTAGAGAATTATACATGTATGTAAATATTTATAACTAGAATAATCTATAGTATCAACACTAAATTAATTAATCCAATTTTACATTTTTCCAATTTATTTTGAGATTTATAAAAAAAATCCCGATGCTTCCTGACATTTTTTTTTTTTTTTTGCTATATTTTTGCAAAACTTGTATGGAATTATATTCATGTGGTATTGTGTGCCAATAACTGTATATTTAAATCTTGTATAAATTTAAGTAGGTAAAATATTATTATTTATATTTTAGGTAAAATTTTACTTCGAGAATTGTATGAATTGGTTTTACTTCCTTGTAGGGAAAATGAAAGTCAAATAAAAAATGGGCATATTGAATATATTTTACGCAAATATAACATACTGAAAGCTACAAATGAATTGCGAAAATCAATTGATATAGTTTTTATTCTTCAAAAATGACATAAGGCAAATCGAATTTTTACAATTTTTGAAAATAAATTTAGTTCATAGTTAAATGTAGAACTCAAACTTTATGTTCGGTTTTAAATGAAACATCAGTTGTTCAAGGATTGAATAAAAAATTTCCTAAAACTAGTAGAAAAAACAGAAGACAAAAAAATAAAACATTTAACAAAATCTGATGAACTAGCTTTTGCAACTTTTCTATAATTCTATTATTTTAACAATTTTATAGAATTATCCGTAAAAATACTGACCAATCAGTAGCTGTTTAATCAATAACGAAAATATAAGAAGACACAGGATTCTTGATGACTTTCGTATATTCAGTTCCCTGTAACTAAACACCATAAAAGTTTTACTCAACAATCTTCTTATAGCATCCAATCCATTGATATATTCCTTAAAGAAATCTCATAATTAATAGTTGAAAAAACTTTTACTAAAGTCAAAATTACTTTTGGCATAATGTATTGAAGAGGGTAAAACCCAAAATGATAAACAAGATTACGAATCAGTGATACTAAAAATGGTAACAATAGTAGTAATACAAATTCAAATTAAAAATAAAATGTTTACTTATGAAGTATTGTATACCTATTATACCTATTAAGTAAAATAGTAATTAAATAATAATAATACATTTATTAATAATTTTAAGTTGTTTAATATTTTCGTCTCATTATTTTATGTCGTATAAAATTGTAGTACGTATATATCAGATTTTCCTTTAGTTGAAATGTCTATGTTTAATCAAGTATGAACTTCTCTTTAAAAACATTTTTGTTGCGCCATTGCTGGTTGTGGTTTATAGACTCGAAAGCTAATTGACCTATTTTGCTGAAAATTTCACGGTTTGTTCTTATTAGTTCCAGAAGTGTTTAGAGACTTTAATGGAAAATTCAACCCCAAAGTGGAATTCACTCAGGAAATTTGTCTTTAAAAAACGAAAATTGCAATTTGTTTTATTTGTTTTCGGTAATCATTGGTTACTCGGGGAGACACTTTTTTATTTTTAGATTTCGAGCGTAGCGAGATTTATAATATTTATATTATATATGTGTTTGTGTGTATGTTTTTCATGTATATATATATAAAATAAATATAAACAAACTTAATAAACGATCAGGAACGGCAATAGATGTCATGAGAGCACGACCAAAATTTTGTGGGTCACTTAAATGTATGACTAGGAGAGCTTCATTTAAAAAGATATCAACTAAGGGTCAGTCCTACATTATTTTACAAAAATCACTTTATTAATAAATAATATAGTTCGGCATATATAGCATACATAGGAACTTGTTTATAGGTACCTAGGTACCTATAAATGTAATGTATAGATATTTTGTAGTCTATTGGTAAACCAGAATTTTGGTAAACATTTGTTTATATTAATTGTTCCAATGAAAAATTAAATTAATAAAAAATAATGTTAGAATTTATTACATTATTATTATAGGGTAATAATATTCGGGAATATTGGTAAATTGCAAACTTGCATAATAATATTATATTTGAGTTAAAAAAACATAGTTTAAAAATAATATTTAATTTTAATTTTAATTATTAATATATACATTTTATTATATTTTTCTGATGTGAAGGTTGGAACTGTTTTTTTGGTTTTACTTACAATAGATTTAAAATATAATATATAAATAGGTTTACCATTTGAAATCTGAATTCGTAATCCATTCTACTTTTATACTTATTTTTGGTGTAAGCTTAATCGGAAACATCAGCCTTGAAACGATCATAAACGATAAAGTATCTTACTCTATATATCTCTAATATATCACCTTCTCCTATTAGTTATATATAAATATTCGTCTTTAAGTCCAATACAAAATTCATTTAAAGATACAGATTCAAATTTATATTTTAATGATGATGAACTTTGAAGTTCGATATGGTTTTCATGTTCATTCAATTAATAACTACTTGTATAGATTTCTAATGAAGGAATTGCTATTTATGAAGAACTTTAACAATAATATCATTATTTGAAGTCACAAAAATATTTTGTGGTAATAGTATAAATATATGTATACTCATAACCAAATACAAAAATTCGTAAGGTAGATCGGTCTTCCTCCTTGGGAATTTCGTTACCGCTTTATGTTATAGCTTATAATCTAATATTTAAGACATTATACTCCATAATTTCTGTGGATTTTAATTTTTTTCTCCTCCCTCATAACATATCCATCGCTGCGCGGAACCCTTGTGATTAATCCAGGGTACTCTGAGGTTCCATGGAACACACTTCGGAATCACTGATTTAAGGTACCTACTTACAACAGTTTTCCAAATTGTTTTCATGACTTAATAACATGTAATATATATTAAATTACTGGGTATATATTTATATTTTAAATAAATTAAGTACATATTAAATATGTACTTAACATTTTTTAAATGATAATTTAATTTAATTTATAATTATTTTTGATTTTAAGTAACATTTAAAAGATTAAATAACCATATTTAAATAAATTTAATATTCAAACTTTAACCATAATTCATAAATAAAATTATTGTATTTATTTACTTTTGCTAAAATTTTTGGTAAATATACATTGCTTTTAATAGAACTTGTATTTAGGTTATTATAGACAAATTATTCGGTACCTAGATATTAGTTTTTACATGAATAAATGTGCATTGTGCATTATTCATTTTTTTTTTAAATAAAAAAAAAATGAATTTGTTTTGTGTGAAAAGAATTGTAATGCAATTTATGTAACGAAAATGTCAAAATACATATGACCTTTTATATAACATTCTCTCTCTCCAGAGGACTGTTTATATACGTGCCCTTTGGGTATCTTGTGATTTTGTCTTTTATCCCCGAATTTATCATCAAGTGTTTTGGGTGTCCTCTATCAAAAATTATTCCCTAGGGCTGGATAAAAAATTGTCTTGCTATGACCTCTGTAAAACCAACAAACTTAACTTGGGATGATTTTCTGTGAGTTGTTTATTGACCTAAAGGGGGAAGAAAAATCATGTCGTAAATATCTAACAACTTCTCTAGTCCTGTTCTCGATATTTATGACCATATTGATATTGAAGTTGAAGTCTAGTAAAATGTATAATCTAATTGACACTATGAGATATTTATGAACATCTACTAACATAAAATGTAAACTATTTTGTATTTTCAATAAACTTTTTTAGGATATTATAACTTATTAAATATATTTTTGTTATTAAACATATGTTTAATTGTTATTTTTAACTGCTATGATTTATTAAAGAATAAGACGGATAATATTTAAAATATTTATAAATATTATTGAGTGATTTTAGCTGAAAATTCGATTTTAAAAGTTGTTTATCATCATACATCAATGATAATCATTTTAATTAATCTTGGATATTTTATGTTAAATTGCCTATCATTTACCAAAAAGAAGTTTAAATATTTACTAAGAGTGAACATTTCAATTAAAATATATAGTTATGTATTATATTAATTACCTAATATAATATATTTGTATTATTTATATAATATTATGTATTTGAATCCAAGCAATTCATCATCTAATATTAATGTTTTGTTTATGTCAAGACATTGAGTTATTTATTTGTTATATAAAACTATATATATATAGCAATGGCATATCTGAAACATATCTTAGGACGGTTAGTTTGATTTTATAAAATACGAGTGGACTTATTTATTTATTGGTACAAATCACTATTCTTCAATCTTAATACAAAGCTCAAGGAGACAACCATTTTCCTTTCTTTTTGGTATCTATAGAGGCTAAAAATACAATTATGAATTTAAAATTCGTATATTAAATATCAATTTTAAAATCACGACATTTTAATGAATGTATTTTATTATATAAAATAAGACTTTTTTTTTTTTTGAAATTGTAATGAACAAAACAAAAATAAATATTTTTGCCAATTATAAAAACACTGAAACGGTTTTTAAAAAATTCGAACTCGATCAATAGTATCAAAGTTCCATTCTCATATTTAAGGACTGAAGTAGAAAAAAACGGACATACTTGGCATGTGGGAAGTTGTAGGTGAGAGTTGGGAAAGTACAGCCGAAATTTAATGCAACGATAACCATTGCTATCTAACTTATCCAATTCTAAGCATAATTTGATAAATAATGTTGCTTTGTCAACAATATATAAGTTATCTTATTGTAATATAATTTACATATACTTTATATATTTTTTTAATAATATTTGTTTAATATTGTACCTATTTTCCCATTTTCCTACGTTTTTTTCTTGGTTTTTCCCCGATTTTTCCATTTATTTTGATAAGTCCTGTGAAAATTAAAAAATGACCTTTCTAAAGTACCATCCCAATCAGATTTCCTTTCAGAAAAATGCTATAATTGAAAATTGGAGCGAAATTGCTGGTAGAAAAGTTGTTTATAGGAAAAAGAAAAGGTCGTAATACTTTTTTACTAATACCTACATTTTGTACATTTTACCATTTTTGCTCAGTTATTTTCTCAGTTTTTCCCAATGTTTCCTCCAAAAAATATCATTGTAAAACTTTCCTCCATCTGCTTAGAATCTAAAAATTATCTTATCGCTATTCTTAAAATTTGGAAAAAACGAAACACGATAAAAAAATATAGGTACCTACCAAATAAATTAAACCTATTCAACTACAATATATAAGGTACTTAATTTTAGTTTATTATAGTCTATTTGTTACATTTTAGTCTTATATATTTATACTAGGTATCATTTATTTTTGATATAGAGGTAGGTATTTATATTATTTAATTCAATTACATCATTCATTACACAAAGCGCGATGTCAAATTAATATAAATATAAAATATAATAAAAACTACTGTCTGGTTACTATAGAAATATCTTACATTCAATTAAAATTAATTCTTTATTTTTTTTATTTGTTTCAAGTACTTGGGATTATTTTACACTTGTATACTTATACTTAATATATTATTTTCATTATTTTGCTCATAGAAACATTTAGTTTCACAATAATATTATAAAATTCATTTTTTGTTTCTCAAAACACTCTTTGTTGACATATAGCACATGTACTCTAAACGTTTTATAAAATTATTTTATGGATAATAATATCTATTGTAGGTAGAACCACATAAAAGAGTTGGTTTTTGTATTTTTATTATTTCTAATTTCAATTCCCTGGAAGTTAAAAGGTTTGTAATATATATTCGCATAAATCATATAAATCATGTTATATTTAATAACGTATAAATAAATACCTACCAGAATTTTGGGAATATCAATCATCCATCATATTGCTCCTCCATTACATTTCTGGTAAACTATTCTTGAAATTTTACATTCCTCTAAAAAAAACTTTTTTTTAATAGGCATGCGTTTTTTTTCTATCTATTACCGCGATTTCGACTAAAAGATTTGCTTCAATCATCACTATAAAAGTTGGGCATTTGACAATAGTTTTTTATTTAATTGGTGTTGGTGTATATAATATCCCCGTGTATAATAAATACACCATTTTTTTAAAAGTCTAATAATATACAATTTTACTTAATACTTATGATTAAATAATAAAAATAATGTTGATAAAATGATCTTCGATTTATATGTAGAAATTTGATTCCTCATTTTAAAAATAAATAAACAAAATATGTTCTTTTATTGTGAAAACATAAATATGGAGAATTATGTACGAGTATCTATAGGTTAATTGTGTTGGAAATGTGTGGTGGGGAGGGTGATTAAGATAGTTTTTCAAAGAATATGCGCCCCAATATAAGCATTTAAAGTTTAAATTTTTATGAAAATCGTAACAATCGCAACATTTCAAAACATTTTTAAGCTAACTTTTTTTCTGAATCGTTTTTCGTTAGCAACAATTAATCACTTGAAATACTCTAAAACGTTTATGAACGTATTATTATTATAACAAAGATTATAATTTTCCATTCAAAACACATTCGCCAGAATAATCGGTTAATTTAGAGTTATTTTTATTCGTCCAAATGAATAATTATTATTGCTAGTCTAGTGTTTATTCGCGTAGCATTCATTTTTGCGCGTTTTAGTTAATATCGTGTTTATCGCCACGCCGTGATGTCATCAAATTATTAAAATATGAAATGAAATTACGAAATTTTTTTGTTCATTTTAAACACGAAAGTCCTCGGACGTCATGAAGCCTATCCTAAGCCTATGCCCATTTGTATGGATTATTATTATTTTTTCACGAATATTTTAAAATCATTTTGAGGTATTATGCAAAATAAAAATTAATATAATTTTCAATTTTAATTTATCAACAAATGTTTTAACTACCTCCATTCGAAACTGAATTTCGTTGCAATTATTTATCACTACATGCAGAATTTAGACTAATATGTGAATCGCAAAATGGGCAAAAATAAATATCCAAATTTTAAAATTTTTTCAAGAAAAACAAACTTATAAATATTCCAGTGGTATATTTAGAGCTTTATCAAGGGAGGGGATGGTTTAAATATTATGTTTCCTCTGTAAACCGATGTAAGACCACTGCTTAGACATCCACATCAATATCCCAATGTATTATAGACAAAAATTGTCCTATAATAGTAATACTACTTTTTGGTAACGTTGATAAAAATACTCAAGAAATGATAAACATCACGGGTATAAATACTATACGTTTTTATTATCTATAGGCTATAACGGTGATCGAAAATGACGTCCTAGGATAACGGGGACGGGTGCAGTCACTGTTGTAGATAATTTAATGTATATTTGTACCTAAGCAACGATAAACAATTGCTTACAAAAATATGATTCTGAGCAGAGTTCAGTTGATAATGATTCTTTATCAACATTATATATAGCTTAATATATTTTCTTTAAAAAAATTTGTTTGTTTGATTTTTGTACGGACTTTTTTAATGTTTTTTTTTTTTTGTGAATTTTAAGTGAAACGAGTTTGGAGCCCACAGTTATTTTTATAATTATTTGCTCTCCCTTGTTATTGATACTCTCATCCTCTTCGTTAAAACACCACTGTGTATAGGAAAGAAAAAGTCTTCCCTTAAAAATTGATGAAAAATGTTTAAAAAAAAAAGGTGTATTTATAATATTTGTTTTGTTTTTTATTGTATCGTATAAAGTATATTATAAACGTTTAGAGTTTTTGACCTTCAACGAAGTTAACTACCACCATAAACTGTCGCTGTCAGAGCGATATGGTCGGTGTCGAAATGTTCATTATCCTATTATGCTGGTACCCTCTACTTTTCTTCTGTATGCTAACTTCCCCTTCTCCCAGGTTTCTTTTATAAATCGATTCGCGTCAATCATTATTGACCTATAAGCCTTGAATAAAATAACGCCACTGCGAATAAATGGTCTTACCTATTATCAATTTTAACGGTGTTAGTAAAACAACGTTTCAGATTATTGATGACATAGATACCTATGCTTTGTCATTGATTATAAATATGTACAATCAATGGTGTTATGTAGGTATCCGTCTGCATTAACAATACCAATGTATCTATATCTATAACAGTTTATATTGCATGTGTACAATATAAAATAGATCAATAATATTAGGTTATACATATTGTTAACTTATCATTTTTTATGTATTTATAATTTTAAATTTATATTGTAAAATAATTACACCAATTAAGTTTGAGGTAAGAATTTATACATATATGAAAATGTTTTAAATTTAAATGATACCTACCTATTTAATGAGTTAATACTAAATTTAATAATATTTAAAGATGATGAATGTGTAATTATAAGAGCCCAGGCTTTATTACTCCATTCACATAATAAATAATTCTGTAGGTTGTTCAGTTAATTCAACTTTATGAATAAATTAATTTTATTTCTATGAAATAAAATTATAGTTTATATTATTTATGAACATTTTTGTTAGATTAGTTGGAAAATGTTTGCCTACTTTATTTTGAAATTTTCAATCATTTTTCAAAAACAATAACTGTACTTTATGGTTTTTTTTTTTTTAAACAATTTCGTTGAGTGAAATACTCCAATCATTTCACACACAACTTCAAAAATGCTGAATTTTCACTCGGTGGTACTTTACTATACATATTTATTGTGCCATCGATTTTTAAATTATCATAAGCATTTAAAATTTAAATTATATATATTTTAAATAGGTACTATTAATTGATTAATCAATGTAAGTACCTACTAAAAGCAGCCTTGGATTTATTCATGAATTTATTATATTTTTCAATACCGCACAAATTCTGTAAAAACTCTAGTCTGCTGTTTTTGGATTATATTTAATAGGTGTTGTTATAAATTAAATTTGATAGAGAATCTCTTAAGTAAAATTGTCCTACATAAAATTTATCTTATAAATTAAATTTATAATAATTTGTACAACGTAAATAAAATTGTAATTAAATGATAAATGTATGTAAACAGAATGTCTAGAAAGTTTGAAAATGTTTTTATATTCATAAAGAGAATAAACGCTTCTAAACTTTCTAGACAAGCTGTATATTAAATATATATTACTTTATGTTTACATGATAGGATTTTTGGAAATCATCTTTAGAATTTATGAAATCAAGAGTTGGTTGGGTACTGGGATCATAGGTCTATCATATGTTATAGTACATGGAACATAGGGCATATGGATTTAAGAACATGGTTATAGGTATGAGCAGTTAACGTTCATACTATGGGCCAGTAGCGTAATTTGATGATGTTTGTTGGGAGGAATGAAATGCTTTTACATTTTACCTATTCCCCTCCCCTCCCAAAAAAAAAAAATTGTATTTATCATAAGCACCTTTTAGTGCAATAAATGTATGTACGCATGTGTCATGTAATAATGAAGATTTTTAAGAAGGCCATATCTCGTCACGTATCGGTTTTTTGTAGTGACACGTATCAAAAAAAAACCCGGTACACATCGAAACGTATAGAAATTTCGATATTCAATGAGAACGTTGCGATTATGATCATATAATTACTGGTTTTTATCAATATAACTGATAACTGTTGACTGATTACATATATTACCTATGTAATTTTGAAAATATTAATATAATATAATAATATTAATTCATTCATATTTTAATTTTAATTTTCTTGTTTTATGTTTTGCGATAATTTTAAAATTCATAATAGAATTGATTTTTTTTTGAATTGATGCTACATAAAAAACAATTTAACCATATTTATGACAGCAATAAAAGGACTAGAAATGGTTAGTATAGAACATTTCAACTTAGTCAGTGTCTATGCACAGGGTATTATAATGCTAATACTATTTACATTCCATTACAATTACAGTTTAATTTATGTCTTGTACTTACATAAACGTTAATTGTTTCATCCTTGCTGAAAAGCGGTTCCATAATCAAGCAATGAAATATTAATAAAGTAAAAATAAGTTAAATGAAAAAATATACTCATTCATTATTTTTCTAATAGCAATTAACAAATAACTTTTAAGATTAAAATTAATTTCTATATTGGACCTAATATTAATATTTACAATATAATACATACTAATATATGCAATCTAAATTTAAATACATGAACAAATATTATAATTTTCCGCTCAATTATAAATGATACTGACGAACCGTCGCACCATAAGCCACGTATCGACATTAAATTCCGATACGAATAGATACATATCACAATTGTATCCTTTTAATGTAGTGTAAACTTCTTGAACACTCGAGTACGATTCCGGAACACATCGGAACGATTGATACGTATTAGTTTTTTCCTTGAAAATCATCTTATTTTTTTTCTAAATTGCCTAATGTCATTTTTTTTATTTAAACGATAGAGAAATCTTTATAAATATAAATCAATAGAAGTATTTATACATACAATGCAATATATATACATACATAAAACTCAGGTGGGGTTTTACTTCTAGTGAAGCAGTCCCATTCTTAATCTAATAATTAGTCAAATGGTTTCAGTCGTTTGTTGAGTCGTCTGTTGTCCTGCGAGTTGTCAAGGAATTGTATGGCATCCGTATTTGTGTGGAGCTTCAGTCTTCTTGCATGTTTGCGAGCAAACCGGGTAATTTCCTGCACGGATGACATTTTCAAATCACGGTGGATGATGTCGTTCTTATCATACCGATATACTGCGACAATGATACGAAGAGCGATACTCTGGCATCGTTGTATTATTTCAATATTGGAATTACTGGCACAACCCCACAGTTGAATACCAAAAATCAAAATCGGTTTAACAATCGATACATACAAGAGACAAATATTATCTTGAATGTGTATAATATTGTTATAGTCTTTAGATAAAATAATCATATGAGCGTCGTCGATCCGCGATAAAATAATACTTGACCGATCGTTGGTTTATTTTTGCACCACTACCATAATACAATATATAGGTATACTAGCTGAATTACCCGGCGTTGCCCGGAAACAAATTCGTCACAAATTAGATAACGCCATGTATTACCATTTACCGTCTTAAATTCATAATTATCGATAATATACATAATAACCTAATATTACTCCCCTAAAACGCAACATTTTTGAAAATCCTTTCTTATTGCACGATGAAAATATGAGAAGAACCTCTATTCCAAATTNATGCCTAAAACCTGCTCCGTGATATTCTCTTTCATTTAAAAAAAACTGCATGACAATTGGATAAGAAGTTTCGAAGCCAAACCGTAACAAAGATTTCCTCTTTTGCTTGTTTCAGTTTTATATATATAGATTTGTGCAATACTGCAATAGTAATACTTATGGTGCCCTGTTATAGTGAAAGGCAGTGTATACAAAAATGTAAATGTTGGGAAAATGGGTTTATCTTCTTTTTTTTTTTTTGCTCGTTAACAATATTATTCAATAATGTTTTTATTATTATTTGTAGTTAATTACCTCAGAAATCGTTCTAGATAATTTTATTTTTCCTAAATCACATGTTTATAGTTTATACCTTTGTCAAGATTAAGTAGATACTGCATTTGTGATAGTCAAAAATTATTACAACTACAAATTAAAAAAGCAGTAGCAACCAATTCAATCATACATATATTTTTTCTTTTTTTTTTTAAACATAACAAGTTATAAACATAATTTAACTACGTATGTATTCAATTAATAAAAAATCACTTTTTTTAAATTAAAGTTTTATTCTTTGGAACCTAAATAGTTATGAATTAAAATAATCAGCAAACAAAGTATAAACTGATTAATGAATCATAACTTAGTCTGTGTTAGTGATGGGAACAATCTAGAGAAATTACTCGATATACTCAATGGTTAGATTTACTCGATTATTTCGATTGTTTTGAAAATTCTCGAGTGATTCTCTCGGTATCGAAATCAACTGAAGTTGAGTGATAAATTAATCGGCGAGTGATGATCACGATATTAAATCGACTGATGTCTTTACCTAAAACATAAAACAATTGAATGAAAATTAGTAATGTTAGTTGTTGTAACACACACAGTACACATTATTAAATTTCTTTTCTAAAATGTTTAATAGGTAATAATAATTAATTGAAGAGTTAATTGTCAAGCCTCTAGCGAGTATTGAATAATGTGAGTTTTACAGAGTATCGAGAAACTGAGTGTTATGAAATACTAAATTGACCGAGAGATATTTTCGAGTGAATTTCTCGATTATTAAAACCTCTCGATTATTGAAATCATTCGATTGTTTCCATTAATAGTCTGTGTGTTGCGTACTATTTAAATATTAATAGTACCTATTTATGATTCTAAAAATAAAATAAATAAATTCTAAAGTATAAAAACTTCGACCAATCAAAGTTAGGAACAAACTCATTGACATATGTTTACTTTATGGAATTATAAATTGTAAAATTAATTATAAAATAATTTAAAATATTGGCATTCAATTATAAACATGTAGATACTGCTTACTGTTGCCAGATAATCAAAGGTTACCAGATACATACGCAGTATGTACCTATGCCGCTAAATAAATTTGCTAATCGTATAAGCAGTAAACTACACAACATATAGGTACTGCGTTTTTTCTAGAATATATCATTTACTGTTTATTTTTCTAATATTCGTTAGATGGATACTATATATTTAAATCTCATTTAGATTCTCTAAATGATGTGTTACTGCATTTTAACCGAAAAAAATCGATGTAAAATGCCCTAATAAACATATAATTGGTCTTCTATAATAATCTTATTTATAAAAAATTGTCGGTTACTTTGGCAGGGCAGTATACAATGGCGTTTATTACGATGTATATATGTACAGTTAGCAGAGGGAATTCGGGGTTTTTTTTTGTATTATTTTTATATTATACAATAATATTTATAGTTAAATAAGTACATAAATGTAGTTCTCCAGTTTTTTAGAAAAAAAAGGTCTTGGGGGGGGGGAGATACGATACCCAAATCCCCCCCCCCGTAATTATGTCACTGATATGGGCAGTTGGTAGTTCACGGTCACCAGCTGGATACACGTTACACTCTAGAAATATTTAAATTTTATCATTTTACATCAATTACCTAATCAAAGTTATTGATTAAGTACTCTCTATAAAAGTGAATACTTATATTAAGAATAATAAAGTCATTTGTTAATTGTAAATTGATTTTGTTAAAATATTAAACATTCTGAATAGGTGTGCTACCAAGACTCAAGTATTAAAATTGATGTTGGCTCCTTAATATAATAATTTAAATCAGTGCTCGATTTTAAGTAAAGGAGCTCTGCTAAGCCATTAACAAATAGCGTCCCGACAAATAATAGCTTAGTTAGGATTTACGGTTATTGGAAGGTCTGATAATCAAAAAAAAAAGGTTCATCAATCAGTCAAAATTCCATTCATAACACTCATAAGACACTGTATTAAAATAGTAACCTTTATAAACGTTATAACCGTGACTATTTACTGTGAACGTTGATGCTTGTTATTCTTGATTAACTATAAATTACTATAAAAAAAAAAGAAATAAAATGGATATGGATAAATGCATAAATAAACTACTAGGAGTTAGCAAATTTAACACGTAAATTTAAGCTTATAATTGAATTATTCTTTATCAATAAAAATGACAATGTTAACTGTCAAGAGTTGAATAAAAACTCTTGAAAAAAAAATATGTACGATTTTTGAAAAATAGAGTGGGTACTTACGTAATCATTAGAATATTGATGTTATAATTTTTATGTAGTTGGTGAAAACCGAAAAATAAAAATAAGTATACATTTGTGTGTATTTTGTAATCATCCCGTTCAGGAGCGAAGTGGCCGGTTTGGAAATCGGAATTTTCCGGATGGCCTGAATTGTATATTATGGCCTGGTGATCTGATATTTGTGTATGATATTTTACTTACTCGTATTATTTAAAAACTCGGTAAAAAGTTATGCCAATACACAAATATATCACTATTATATTCTCATTGCAATACGTATTAAGGTGTTTTGAAATAGATTCCCGTTTAAAATATCTCATTAAAATAAATATTGATGAAATTATTTTTATACATTTTTTAGAGGGCGAAACTCCCCCTTCCTCTACTATTATCTTCGCTTACGTCTCAAGTAAAAACGCATTTAATTCCCCTCCTGACTTCGTTACTAGTTCAAATTAAAACGCTAAAAAATGTTTGGTAGATCATATTTTATTTAGCGGCCTGGATAAATTTTAACCTCTCGGCCTGAATTTAGTTCCCACTCCGTTCCTGATTCTGTTGTTGGTTACTTATCTCACTTTATATCTCTACGGCTCAACATAAGAATTAACAGTGAGAACCCGATTTTTAACACCGTGCAAAGCACTGCTACAACCGGGGGTCCTTATATTGTCTACACAATACTTCTAGTATTAGCTATTTAAGAGCCGGAGGATTTCAGGGCAAGCCCCGAATGTATGATAATGCATCAGAGCGTGGTCATAATAACCGCTACCCAATTTACCTACCAATCGTTATTTATTTTAATTTCTATTCTTTCTTAGGATTCATTTTACTGTTTTTCACAATTTAAAAAAAAATGTATTTTTAATTACATACTAAGAAAATGAAAGCGACTTTCCTAAAATACGGTTGTGTTCATGTTCTTAACTATAAATATTCTTACTTGAAGCATGTATATTAATTGTGCAATGTATATTGTATATTGTATACTGTAATATTTATTGAATTAAAAATATTTTTTATCAAAAAGAATCCCACATGTGTAACTTGTATACATTACATATATTTCGTTTAGATATAAAAGTAATTAATTATTATATTAAATGTTATATAATATTTATAATGTAAACATTACCTGCATATAATCTACCTACTAACTACTAATTACTTGCCTATTATACCTAGCTATTTAACAAACTATTGTAAAATGTCTAGAACTCGTTATTTATTACTTAGTTATTATTACTAACCTGAATACAATTTTAACATTTCATAAAGCTTAATTATTAATCGTGAATGCTTAATTGCATTATCGTTTAGTTTTAATAAAAATATAAACTCATACTATGTCCATATTATAATGGATTCATGATTTACTAAATTATATATTTAAATGTAAAATAAAAAAGTATAAAAACCTATTATTCAATATTTAATAATCAATTCAAATCTTACGATAACAATATATATTTTTCAGACTTTTAAATCCACTGATGTTGCTTCTTCAGCAGCTATGTGTTATAGACGTGGTGGCCAAAAATATGCTTTGCAGGCAAAGCAAAGTATAACTTATGGACGTGGGTCTTTTCCAAACGAATACTGTGACGATGACCTTGAAAATTATTTAACTCATAGGTAAGTTTGAGAATAAAATCACGGTTTTTAACAAATTGTAAATTCAAATATTATTAACTATAGGTGTATAGATATATAATTAACTGTAAACAGTATTAGTACCTATTTATTTAAAATGTAATTATTATTATTTGTTTTTACATAACATGCATTTAAATATTAAGTCGGTTGGAGGAATACCCTGCACACTGTGCAAACAGTGTCCAGTATAATAAATTCATCAGATAATATAATAATATATAGACACTACGTAATGGACAATTTTTTAATTAGATTATACAATATTATATGAATGGTTGTGTGAATATTAATTAATATTTAAAATTATAATGTCATGTTTATCGTAGAATTATCACTCTGTTTTTGGAATATAAAATATTTTAGATTAATATAAAGAAACCTATAGATAACGAATGATGTTAGTACCTACCTACCTATAGGTTTAATCTGAAAATTCCTTAAAAATAATTGATGAGGAAATTAAAAACTTTTGATAGAGCTTATTCCAAACCTCTTTTGTTTTGATGATGGTGTGTGGTAACACCAAACACAAACAAAAATATCCTCTGTAATTAATATGTTAAAAATCTACGTAAAAATCATTTAACTTTCATTATATTTTAAACCGAAAAATTCACGGTCAAAAGTTTGATATAATCCTAACAACTATATCTTATTGAGTTTTAAATTTTATTTGAGAGAACCGGTGGTTTTTTTTTTTGGTGGGGGGGATGGTGGGAGGATGAAGTCCCTCTTCTTTTTCTTTTTTTTAGCTTACCTCTTCTATTTTTTCGATATGGAATGTAGGAATGTAGGAATGTAACATTTACAAGTGAATTTGCAAATCGTTAGTTTTTCTACATTTTATGGATCTTATTTAATGCATAATTTATTAACAATTAACCAATTTAATGTTTTTTAAAAAAAAAATAATTAATAAATAACTTGTTTTATATAATATACTTGTAGAACAAATTTAACATTGTTCTGGTGTTATAGGTGGATAAAGAAGGGTGTGAGGCATTTTGTCTGGAACACTTGTTCATCCAACATCTACTCAGTCCCCCTTCTAGATTTTTCCAAATCAAGCACTGAAGAGAACTATGTGATTTTTTGATAATCATATAATGATATCAGTACAGATAATCTTCTAAATCTTAAACCTGATGACTTTAGAACTGCTGTATAGACGCATTGAGGCTACCACTTATAAGTAAAAATAGTGATGACCTTAATAACCTCAAATGTATAAAAGTAATCAAATTATTAGTATAATAACATAACTTTTTTAACAGCCAATAAGTATAAAAAAAATCCATACTCCACATTTATTCAAGTGAATGCCACTCGTCGCCCTATAATTCTACGTCATCATACTTAGCAGTTAGATCTGTAAAACAATAATATCTCTCGACTTTTGGGGGAAGTTAAGAAATAAGGATTGTAGGTAATAGGTATAGGTACAACTCAAACAAAGACAAGGTTAGCAAGACTATCTATAAAAACATATTTCTTATTTATACATTTATTTTCTTAAATTCCTCATGTGCACACTCCCTTGATAGCTATCACCAGCTATATAATACTACATAATAGGGTACTACTTATTGTACAAGTTTAACAATAGAACATTGCATGTAAGTAGTAACGTATCGTTAGGGTTTTATTTTTATTTGAAAAAGGTTTATAAATTATTTTTTATTATAGTTTTGATGATTAATTGTCTAAAATGATGGTTTTAAAATAACAAAAAAAAAAAAATTCATTGATCGAGTCAAATTATAGTGATCTCATTCGAAGGATATGTAAAACACACATTTATTATTTCTCTGAATCGACATCACGGTACAATATCTACATTTCTATTTGTATAATTCATTCAATCTTTATTTAGATTAAATTGTATAATGGTTAAAATAAATGTACGCATTTAACTATCTTTATATTATAATACACCATATATTTTACCTTTATATTATGTTGCAATTCAAATAAAAAATATAGGTATGTGTTTAATTTTGTAATACATACATTATATATTAGGTACTATTATAATAGACAACTATAGTTGTTTAGTTAGTAGTATATCCATTGTTATTTGCCCTATAACTGTTTTAAACAATATATACCTATAGTATAATTATATAAACTATTTACTTTATTTAGGAATATATGTTACTTTAAAAATATTGTAATTGGGTAGGTACACTAAAACTTAAAATTATGAGTTTAGTTTAAGTTCTATGGTTGCTAAATGTATTAGTGTACATCATTAATAACAATATCAAATTTTAAAACTACTAGGATACATGGTTTCAATATTACCAGTGTCGGTCTGACTCATAATTGGGCCACCGGAAAAATATTTTCAATGGACCACAAAACATCAAAACATAGAAGTCATATTCAATACCAACTAAAAAAATTGTCTGGCTTCGCTCGAAATCTAATAGAAATTTTAATAGCATAAATTTAATTTAATATATGAATATATATTGTTTTAAATTTATTTTTTCATTTTGTAGTGATTCCACATGTATGTATTAGACATATGTGTCAATTTACTAAATTCTGTTAAAATACTAAAGGAGGTGTACATCACATTAATACTTATGTATGCCATAAAGATCAATAGGTATTTTTATGAGTCAAATCACAACACTATGTTAATTATTAAGTAAAATCTATTTTTTTTTCAACTTTATTAACTATATAAAATAAATTATACAAAAAGTATACGGCATAGACTTGTTATATATGTAATAATAATCACATAAAATAAACATAATAATATAATAATTATCAGAATAAAAATAATTGAGAGCAATAAAACTCAAGTAATCAACAAGATAAAATAATAATCTTTGTAATTCTTTACTAAATGATGCTAATTAATCAATTTTTTCATTTTTTTGAATATGTTAATTTTATTAAATAATTATAGAGACTTGAAATTTAGACAGAAAACTTATATTTGTCTTTTCTAGATGTGGTAAAATTTTCAAAACATTGCAATAATTTTTGAGCTATTTATAGATATTTTAATTTTATAAGTTTTTTTTACATATAATTTGCGGGAACAAAATTGTTGGACCAAATATAAATTCTAAACAATTTTACAGGAGGTTCATTATAAGTTGTACAAGTTCGTGGTCAAACAAAAGGGGAAAATCCCGAAATTAATTATTTTCAAATCGTAAATATTACAACTTTTAAAAACATGTATAACCGAACTCCGCTCAAAATCATTTTTCGTTAGCAAAGATTAATCACTGCGTACAAATATACATTAAATTCCCTTCTACATCCTACCCTTCCCAACTTCTCACTTATAACAGTGGTTCACCCATAGTGCAAGTATGTCCGTATCTTTTTAGTTTTGAAAACGCACGTTCACAGGAAACTTATGTACATGGTTGAATTAATACTTATTTCATAGCTAAATAAAGCGTATTAAATAAATAAAATGTTGAAGTTATTTTATACAATGTCTGCAAAACCTTAGGTAAGTAGTCATCACATTCTAGTTTTTCTATAACAGGTACATCATCTACTGTAGCTACTATTTCTTCTATATTATTATTCATGGTATACAGAATCTTCTTGGGACAAAAGAACTAGAGTACCTACTGCTCTAGATTATTTTTATTGTATCACGTCAACCATGTTTCAAAAATAAGATTATAATATCATTAATTTCATTTATATTAGGAAATTTTTTTGTTTTACAAAAATAATCAACATACTTTCTGCTATTGACGTGATCCCGTGGGGCCCCTATTTTAAATAAATCTCAGGGCCCCCAACGACTGCCGGGAAGACCAGACCGACACTGAATATTACGTGTCTAAACTACAAATGTTACACATTTTATTTTATTTTATTTACTGACGTCAATATAATTCATTGGTTAGGTTTGAATTGTATATTTTATATTAATTTAATGAGATTGCTTAGTCAGAAAGTTAAAAACAAAAAAATAAAATAAGACTCTGAATAACAATATAAAACTAAAGAATAAAAAAAAGTAGATGTATTTACATTATATTTTATTGATTTTGTATAATTAATTTTTATTTTTGGTACAGAAAAAAAAAGGCTAGAAATGCATCCAAACATAGGTGTGTGCACGAGCAGACTCTTGTTTTAGGTGACATATGAAAAAAATCTCATTTCATCATATTGGTTATGATAATATTATATAGACTTGTTTTGAATCTAATTATAGGCGCCGGGTGGTTTTCAATAATCGAAGGAAATATTTGTTTAATATTATTTGAATCGGTTGTTTTATTTTTAGTGCAAGTATTTACTATTTTTATTTCCCCAGAAATGACGATGTTTACGATAGCTCGATGTCTAAATGTCTAATATTGAATAGTGAATACTGTCCAACGATGGTGCTATTTCGAATCATCTAATCAGTAATCAAAATATTAACAGTGATAAATAGATAAATATCTTTACCGCGTGGGTAGTTATAAAGTTACTTTTTGTTACATTTAATTAATTTTTTTCTGCTAGTATTTAATAGACTAGGCATAAATCTAAAATTGCATTTATTAATTATATGAGGAAAGAGATACTTGAATTGTAAAAAATGATGAATTTTTATTTATTTAATTTTAATAATAAAATATTAAAATTTTAATAAATATGTCTTTATAAAAATATGGTTTTATTTTACAGCGATAAAAAAAATATGAAAAACCTATTATTTTCTAAGAAGAAGTAGTAATCGTATTATCTTGTTTATATAATCTTGTTTATAATGCAATACCGTGTACATTCATATTAGAGGCATTTATATCCCGGGAGGGCACATTTTATTACCGTATAACTTGCAAATAAAGTCTACGCACGCCTATGCATACAAAAAAAAAAAAAAATTTAAATCAAATATTCATATATAAATGCAATTTATACATTTAAAAATTACTTTAATTCCTAGATATATTCAGTTAAATTAAATAATAGGTACCTCTCTACTAACAGTTTGAGGTTAAAAATTAAATTGTCTAAATACTATAGTTTTATTATACTAGACTTTAAATAATTATTTTTAAATTTATTAACTCTTGTACATATTTTCATGTAGAGTGTTTTGTTTAGTGAAATATTCTATTCATAATGAAAAAAGTTTCATACTTTTTTAAAGTGCTTAAAACAGTACTGTATTTCCAGTTTAATTTAAAATTAAATTACCCTTAAAAAACGTAAATAACATTGACCATTTAAGATTTAAATATACATATTTGAGGTTCCTTTACTAGCTGTTAGCCGGGAAACTTAAAACCTGATTTTCGAGAAAACTTTGTGGTTGATAAATCTTGAACAACAATTTTTGTTTGATATACCATACTTAGTTAACCTAAACCGCATATTATATACCACACAGTTGAGTCCAATCCCACTCGGAACGTGTGTAATCACGTTTCGTGACCAGCTGTAGTGGCTTTACATAACAGTGTACAGTTTTACAATATACCATTATGTTTTCTTATGATACAGTTGATATAATTGATTTAATTAACTTAGTTGATGCTAAAAGCTAAATTTAAAGATATCTTTGATATCTTTTTTCTAGTGGGATAATTAAGATGAAAATAAAATCTCATATTTTGAATTTAATTTGTAATGATATACTTTATAAGTAGGTATATAAAATCATACACGATTTGTTTGGAATAACTTTATCAATAATAACTTTTAAGGTGTAATTTATTTATGGAAGTTTGAAAATACACTTATAATACGCATAATATATTATATTAGATAACTTTTTATCAGATACGTATCTGGGACCATATCTAAAGATGGGATTAAGTTTTTGATGAATAGTCTAATATTCTTCTATAATTAATTGTTATTGTTATTATGTGAGGTTTTTTTTTTTTAAAATCTGTGAATAATTTTCCTAACAAAAATTTTGACCCAATCATTAACTTAAGAATGGTTTCTAGTAGAAAATTGTAACTAGTTGTGTATCGGAGAAGTTTTTTTCTGATATTTTTGTTTATAATGATGAAAATCGGGAAATACACCTGAAATCGAGATCATTTATGCAACAATAATAGTTTTTGTGAAAATCGATTTGGCTTTTTTGTTGTGATTTAGTGAAAATTATTGTAAATAATTTGCATTTTTACTGTACCTATATCTAAATTATCCTAATCTGATGTCTGATATTAACATTTTCTAGATATGGTATATGTTTTTCAAACTATTCTGGTGTTATTCAAGTTACTTATAGGTAGATATTTGAAATTGTCGAGTTCTTTCTGGTTTAAAATTCTCAAACATTTAATGCAAGTTTCATTAAACATTATATTTACAGTCGTAAAAATGTGTCGGTCGGTGCCTGTGCCTTTTGTTTTTCAATCACATAATATTATGTTTTACGTTCAATATACCTTCCGTACAAGATGACACGAACAAAAATGTATCTTATTCCAGAATAATTGTTAGTTCCTGTCTGTAATGGGACGGTTAAAGATAAATAAGTACGTACAGCCGTAGGTTATATGTTAAATAAGCGATTCAAATTAAAAAAAATAATCGAAATCTAAATCATATAGATGCATAATATACTATAGTGTTGTTGTCTCGTCGTTATAATATATCGTGCCCTTGGTGTCGGCGACCTTGCGCACCAGAGGTTGATACTTATAATTATTGTGACGTGAGTAGCTTTCGGAAGTCCGTCGGGACTCTGATGCTTCTGTTGTCACTGCAGCCATGTTATTATTGTTAGCCCGACGCGTGCGCCATCATCACCGGTGCGGTCCGTCTAAACGATCGCGGGACACGGTAGGAGTTTGCGAATATTATAAAATTAGACACATACACACACACACACACACACACACACACACGAATAATAATAAAATGATCATTTAAAAACCTTCGCGTGGTTCGTGTGATCGTCGTGACACCGGGGCCCGGTCGATCATTCGTCGATCCGCGTTCGTATGTATACTATAATAAACGCTAAATGTTAATAATATATCGCACGATACTACAATAACAAATTAAAACATAATACTCGCATACTTAATATATCGTCGGCTACTCAGCAAAACTTCGCAAGTCGTAGGTATTGTGTGTGTGTAAATAAACGGTTTTTTTTTTTCAAAAATCTCGTTCCAATAAAAAAAAAAAACTTTTTCGTAGCCTTTTTTGAACTTGTCGGTGTGTCGGGGACGTCGGTTTTCGATTTTCCTTGTAATTTTTTTTTTTTTAATAACAAGTTTTCTCGCCGCCGTTTTGTAAAATTTGTTGAAACCGACTTTTATCGAATCGTTTCACCGAGTGGCCGACAAAATCTAATAATAATAATCTCATTTACATTTACCGTGTATATAATATTATAATACTATGCGTACGCGTGTGTTTTTTTCTGCGGCATCAGGCGATACTCGGCAGACGAATGCAGCATAGATACGGGACGAAAATCTGTCACGTTCGATTTGTACGATAAGAGGCTCTCGGAGAGCATTCACGACGTGCACAAGAAATTCCACGAAATCACCGTTTACGAGAACAGTTCCGCTGTAGGTAAGTGTACACTGTATTTAATAATATTGTAAACATTTACATTTTCATAGTATATAGTTATTGTTATTATTAATATTCATCGTTACGAAGACTTATACAAATAAAAAGTAATATTATTCTTCTTCCGAATATTATAATAGCTACAATGACGTTATAGTACGATATCTATGTTTTCCCTTTTTCCTCGTATATATCTATTTTATTTGGCGCTGTTACATTTTTTCATTCTTTCGATTCCAATTACGCGCAATCTATACCGGATTTAATTTGTGGATTACTTCGTTCTTTTATAATTTAAGAATAAAATCGACCCGATCGATTGTAAATAAATTTACAACAATACAATGTCGAGGTTGGCTCGTATTTGTTCAGAGTATTTATGTGTAAATGATTATCTACGAATCTGTCAATCCCCCGATGAAATATAGTTGTACAAAAGAATCTCTAAAACCCATCTCATATTAGACATGTCCTATTCTTACAAACAGAATGTGTTACTTAAGAAACACCCCGAACATAAGGTATATTGTCTGTCTTCGCCATATTAACTTATGAAAAAAAAACCCGGCAGTATTAGTATCCAAGTGTGTGTGTGTTGTGAATTAAAATAGAGCAAGACTCCGAGAAATGTATTGTGAATAATATACAACTTTTTGTCTGAAAATAATAATAAAAAAAACGTATCCTATAATAACAATTTATTTTTATGTTTAAGTTATGAGTAGTATAAATAAGGTACCTTCTACTGATATATAAGTATATTATAGAATTTGTATAATTTACAACATATTATATTTAGCAAAATGTAAATAATGTGAAATGCATATAGTATGTCTTTTTTTCCGGATGAGTTTTTATTAAAAAAAAAAAATCACATAACAATATTATCGTAACTTCGTCGTATTTACGTTTGCCATATACCACGCGTTCTTTTGTGGTTACAACTCTACAAGCTATATTAAAACTGAAAAAAAAAACTTGTTTGTAAAATCCTGTTTGTACATTATCCTATCGATTTTGGCATTAAAGAACGTATCAAATCAATGTTAAGTATATGTAGAATAAAAGGGTTATCCATTAAGTGCATTTGTTCCGTGTTTGGCAAACAAATAAATCTGTTGATCCAATAATCTCCACTATAGTCACATCCATGCTGATGGTATATTTGTATGTATTATATTATATATAGTACGTATAGGTACAACACTATTATTTCCATTCGTGTAAATATAACATCATAATACTCGCGTAGGTATATAGCTGGGTATACTCTTTTAAAGTAAATGTTTTCGGGATGGACGTTTGACCCTGATCGAATATCCTTCAAAGTAAAATACATTTTACATTTATAATAAGTGATTAAAATTTACAATTATACCCACAATAATACTAAACTAATGTTTATTGTACATTATGTATGAGATTTATAATAAATAAATAAGTTTATGTGTACTTATTTTAAATTTAAATTTATATTAACAATTCAGTATTTATCATCTTTTACGATGAACACAGATTTTGAATGTAGTATTTATATATACTTATATTTCAGAGAATTTCGTGTAATTATCAACAAATTTCCAAATAAATTGATATCAATATTAATGAATAATGAACTCATGACATGTTTACGTTCAATGTCAAATATAAAAATCTTGTTTGTATTCAAATACTTAATAAAAAAATAAAATTAAAAAAAATATATAATTTGTTTATCTGGTCTTTTGGTTTTAGTAATTTAATATTTAATGGGTACACTTAACTGACACAGTCATTATTATATTTCACCGACCATTAATATGGTTTACTTGTATAAAGAAGTGTATATTATTATTCTCATATATCATATAACTTCAGAATAATGATGCAAATAATTATTTTCGTGAATATCAGTATATTACAATAAACTAGGCAATCAAAATCATTCGCGTTTGGCAGTTTAAAATGTGCTTTTAAACGGACTTATATTTATGTACTCATTCATTAAAAATGTTGTACCATATTTATATCAACCGAACATTGACATTTGTGTTTTAGAAATGACACCAGAGATACCAGATCCTCGAGTGCGAACGCCACCGGAATTAGCACGTGTCAATACCGATGAACCGATTGAATGTGTCAGACAAATGTTAAAAGCTGCTAGAGACATGGAGTTAGAAACGGTTGTCAATATTTTAACAAGTCACGATGAAGATTTTTTTAGAAATAATATCAATGATACGGATTCCACAGGCCGAGTAAGTATATTATATACACGCACAAAAGATATTTTATTTAATAAAATAGTAGAAAATATGAATTATTAAAATAATATAATAATGAAGTACACTTTATTACACCGTAAAAATTTAAAACTATATTACTCAAAGCAAGCGCATTTTTATTACTAAATACTAATATTAGTAAAAGGAAGTGTTTGGGTGTTGAAATAGGCTGTATTTAAGTCAAACATCATTTACTAAATGCTTCGGGTTCTTTTACAAAATGTGTAGTTTTCATATTATAATATCATATTTGATTATTTATCGTAAAAATTAAAGATATACCTACTGTATACCGCATACCGTGACGGTAACCTGTGAAAGCACCAGCTGCTGTTACAATTATTACCTATAAACGACGTCGTGGACCGCCTCGAAAATTCTGTGTGGAACCCTTCCCTCTCCTTACAAGTTGTATTTAAGTAAAAATTAAAATACACCCTTTTGAAAAATCTTGACTACGTGCCTGACTTGGAGTAAAAATATCGTATAAGTATCGTCAAAGTACATTATATCACATAAAAAGTGGATTAGAAATATTTTAGGATTAAATTTAAAAATTATGAGAGATAATTTATGACAAGCAATACATGTATAGTGCAGTGTTCATTATGTACGAACAAGTAAATTATTAAATTTAGTGTGGTAGCGCTGCCCGAACTTTTTTATTTGTGAAAGCGATAAAATTCAAACATCATCCATAATTCTTGTAAAAAAAACCTCGTGGGAGACATCGCTCCCTCACACTCTTATACCTCTCTAGACTTATTTAAAAAAAATAAAAATTCTCACTGAAAAAAAACAAAATAATTTGTATAAATATAATATAATATATTATTGTGTCATCTATAAATTTTTTAAAATAGTTAAAAAATGGAATAAATATATTTTGGTATTTAAAGTTTATTTTAATGTATTTCCGCTTTTTATCAGAAATTATAAGTATGTAGGTATCTAATCAGAGTCGTGTTTAACGGGGACAAAGAGAGACTAACCTAACCTCCCTGGGGAGGAAAATTGTGTGGCGCTTGGAGGGGTGGCAATTTTTGTGTACGAATATTATAAACCACCAAATTATGTAGCTAAAATTAATTTTACTTTTGCCTATGAGCAGCAGTTTAATTCAATGCAGCACTGTATCTAATAATACACCATAATAATTAGGTTGACCTGATAATGTGTAACATAAGACAATTTACGTTCCCTATATGTACATTAAACATTTTAACAGACCAATGGGTCGTTGACCGTTGTTATCCCTAGTCTATCTTTTAATACTTCAACTTAAATGGAATCAAATTAAAATGTTATTTTATAAAAATAATTAATCTCAGGGAGATAGAGGATGCTACGGGTTTAGCGAACCCGGGGCTCTGAGCTCCTACTGGTGAAAAACACAGATGGGTGATTTCCATAGGGTGTATATATTCTATACAGTGTTTATATAGGGTAGAGGAATTTACTTTATATAGTTGACAATACTATTCTCCTTCATTAAAGGGTATCGGAATACTCCCACGGTACTTTTACCTGTCGGCTGTCGCAAGAGGCGACAAATGGGATAGGTTCACGTTGATAACCGGTTTAAATATCTGTTAAACTGTATGAGTTCTGAACAAGATTTTGGTAGATAGTCTTATTTCGGATGAGCGTGGGGACAATAATTAAGAGGAGTTTATGTTTACAGATGATAAAGTTTTGATAAGAAAAAATACGTAATAAGTTAATAATATAGGCTTGAGAAATAGAGAGTAGCACTGAAATAGGGCGAGATGGTTTGAGCATGTCACGGGAAAAAAGGAATCTTAAGCAGTAAGATTTTTAATGAAAATAAACGTAGGAGGATAAAGGTGGAAAGGAAAATTGAAAAAAGATAATAGGATGCGATTAAGAATGATATGAGGACAGCTGGTGTATGTGGAGTAGATGATCGGGTCAGGAGAAAGTTTACAACGAGGTTAGATCGATCCCAAATAGTTGGGATGAAGGCAAAGGAGAAGAAGGAGATACAAATAATTAATCGTGCTGATAAAATATTAACTGACATCCGAAGTATTATTAATAAATAAATTCAATTTATTAATAAATAATAATAAACTTACTAAAATTATTATAGTAGTAATTATAAAATATCCAATACATTCTCGGTATACTTGCTCTCTGCCCATTTTTAGTTGTAGAGACAGTTACTTACTTACTCAATAATGTATGACAATATACAACAATAACTATCTTACTGAAGAAAATTATTATTTAATTAAATAATCGAAAATATAAGATTAACAATCACTGTGAAGTATATTTTGAATAGGTACTAATTTTTATCGTTTTTAAATAAACACTCAATCTTTATTGGATAAAACCAAATTATAAATTTGTACTAAAAATATTACATTTTCAGACCTCCTAGCTCTCATAATTAAATTAATTCAATTAAAACAGCAAATTTTACTGATAAATTGTCATTTTATTTAATGTATAAAGGGTTTAATATATAAATTTAAAAAAAAAAGAGCTGATCCTGGGGATAGGAGCGGTTACTGTTGTAGGTTAGAAGTTGGGAACATAGGATACATAAGGTTATTTCATTTATATCTGTAAGCAACGAGAACACTATTGCTTGATGAAAGATGATTCCGAGCGCATTTCGGTAATGCATAATTTGAATTTGAATAATTTTTTTTGCGATTTTCGTTTAAATTTTATTTCTAAACGCTTATTAAAAAAAAAAACAGTCATTCGATGATTTTGAAAATTTTATCACGTCTAAGTAAGTCCAATATAAGTATTATTACCAAGTTTCAAGTCTCTACGTATTTATAACCGAATTATAACAAAAAACTCCCAAAAATTAAAATTCCTTAAAAACTCAAAAGTGGCTCAAAATCATATTATAAGAAAGTAAATCAAAAAAGCACAAAATAGGTGTGTTTTTTTCTGGTAGAAACCGTCCGTGTTTCTATAAAATAATGAAATCGTAAAATTGTACGTTTTCCTACGTTTTTTCCCGCTTAAGTGCTTTTATTTAAAAAATAGCGTCGACAATCAAAAAAATAACCTTTTTAAAGTACAATTTAGACAACTTAAGCTTTCAGAAAAGATGTTACGCTCATACATTGGAGCAATTTTACTAGGATAAACCTTGTCCACAGACTAGAACAACTGTTGTATAAGTAATAGTTCCCTCGCTACGCTCAGAATCTAAAAAGTGTATGATCAGCGGGTATCAATTATAAATATTAATTATAATTAAGCATTTATTTATATTATTTATGTCTATAATATGTAGTCTGAATAAGGGAAATCCAATTTGGCTACTTCAAAGAAAAAATTTAATTACAATGTGCAATTAAAATAAATATTCATCGAGTAATATGGTACCTACCAAGGTACCTATATTTATTATTGGTTCAAAAGTGTTGTATAGATAACACTTAAGTTTGTTGAAATTATCCCAAAAATGATATTTGATTTTGAAAGTTTATTTTATTCTTTAAATTAATTTTTTATAGAAAAACCATAGGAACGATTTCGTGTGGTTACAACTTTAAGAGATTGCGTATGTTTGCCGCGTGAGGTTTTGTTAAAAGTTTTATGCATAATAAAATAACCAATCAATTCGGTATATTTATCGATTTGTTGCCCTTATTTCTTCAATAGTTTAATATTATAGTATTATAATGCGAATACCTATAAAGCTATAACTAATTTAATATTATTATTGTCGTCTGTCGACCTATAACATATAATTAAAAGTATTATTGTGAAAAAAGCATTTTTTTTTTTAACTATGTGATACATGTATTTTATTAATGATAAAAATATTATGCGGTCGTAATTTGATGGATATCGTTTATTATACCACAAACATATATTTTAAGAATCAAATTAAGTCAAATTAAAAATTATATATATTATAATATATTTGCTATGATGCCAAATGGTTTAAAAATATTGGTGGTATGACATTCTGACGTCAAATAATATAATATATTCTAAAGTTAATGATTAAGTTTATATCTGAAGACTACACTAATAAATAAACATATTGATTGTTGTAGACGCTGTTGAGCTACATCGCATCTAGTGGAAGTGTTGAGATTTTTGATGAAATATTTAGAGTGCCTAACTTGGATTATAACAAACCGGACAATGAGGGCAACACTCCTTTACATTTTGCATCGCAGGCAGGTCAGTACAACATTTGAAGTTTTAGTTTGAATGATGTATATTCAAGGGTTTGTTTGCAAACCTATCCTTTTTGTCACATTTGGAATGGAAATTGTGGAGGGAAAATGCAACTGAAATTGTTTATATCAATATAAAAAGTAAAATATTATGTATTATAGGTACCTATGTACCTACTTTAATTGTATTAATTAATTCTAAGTTTTAAATAATTAGTCTTTTATTAGTAGGCATATATTGAACTATCATTATTTTTAATTAAGTTCAATTAATTAAATGACGATGATTAAATAACTCATGTCACTTAAAGATAAAATAATTTTATTTGTATAATTCATTAACATACACTTGTTATACTATTAAAATAACATTGGCATAAATTATTTTAGTTAGATACTGTAATTTTAAATGACCACTTACCCAAATTAATAATTTAAGAGAGCTAGCTAAAACAAAATTCACTTTTGATTAAACTAAAATAAAAAATGTATAATTATAAATGTAAAATTTATTTTTAAAATTTGGTTTTCTCATTTTTTATTCACTATTCACCTATTATTTTAATATATATATTTTATAATACACATTACACATGTATATCATTAAATAAAAATAATACTGTTACTTTTAGTTAATTTGGTTTATTTATATGCCCCTTTTGTATATGTTTTTTATTAAACAATCTCAACTTATACTTTTAAATTATTTATCAAAATTAACTATAATTAATATTATTTCTATTTAAATTTACAGGCCAATCTGAAATTGTGTGTCTGTTACTGAACAATTGTTTACAACTAGAGATTGATGCCAGAAACTGTTTAGGATTCACACCGTTAATGAAAGCCGCTCTCCAGGGGCGAACAAAATGTGCGAAATTTCTACTGTATGCAGGTATTATATCAGATAAATATTTTTTTTATAGTTTATTTCGTTCAAATGTTTCATAATATTAAGAATAATGTAGCTAAAGTAGGTAATTCAGTTTTGTGAAAATAGTATTTGGAATAAAATTTTAATTACGACTCATTAAATGGTACAGATATAATTTGCCATTGTTTGATAGATTTAATGTTAAATAAATTAGTAAAATGTACATATATTTGAAAATTGTATAATATCGACACATTGTTTGTATTCACATTGTATATGACGAACTGAGAACATAATTTTCTATTATTTATGTTACTCAAGATTTGATAAACACATTCCACATTTTGATTATATTATTTGGTTATATGAAAATATAACCAAAATACATGAATCTATATGATGTAGATGTTCTGTTGATGAAATGGTTTGATTAAACATAAATGCTTAAAAATTGAATTCAAGATTTATTATTAGTATTTAAAAAAAAAAAGTTAGTGTTATGTAATAGTTTTTGTTACGCATTTTAAAATTATATTTTGTGAAAATCGTAAATATTATGATATTTCAAAACATTTATGTGAGATTTGTGTAACTGAACTTCGTTCAAAATCAATGGTTTATAATTGCATACAGATATAAATTAAATAACTTTATAGATTCTATCTTTCCAAATATCCTCCCCGCTTACAAAAGTGGCACGAGACATCAGCAGTATCAACTTTTTTATTATTATTATTATTATTATTACATAATTAAGAATACTGAGAAATTCAAAGTGCAATTCCCTACAATTTTATTGATTTATATTATTTCATATACATTTTTGGTCGTATCAATTTCTTTACTTTTTCATAATGATACATTTAGTTATTTATTTTTTTTCCGGTACCTATTCAACTCTAAGGTTAGCCATACAGTTCCCTGTATTCTTCCCATTCTAGTCTATCACTAGCTAGATTCAATTCTCTGTAGTTTGTCAGTCCCACATCAGAAATCATATCTTTTTGATATATTGTGATATTCTTGGCCGTCCTTGGTCTCTTATGCAATTCATCCTCTCTTCTGTTATAGTATGTAAAAACTCACTAGTGTGACTTAAAACATATCTGATCATATTCCATCTTCTAACTTAAATCGTACTGAATATCGTTCAAGTAATTATTTATTTCAATGTTAGTCTTCCTTGTCAGATATAGTAGCCGTAGAAGGAAAAAGAGGGAAAGGAAGTTTGAAAAAGATATGAGGGATCGAGTTAAGTAGAAATTTAGGAGGGTGACCGACACCCAGTGACATATTTAAGGCGGGCTCGATGAAAAAAACACATAAAAACTTTTTATTTTATTTCATTCTTTCCAGGTCTAATGTGCTGTTTAATAAAGTTTTTAATTAAAACTTTTGAATAAAAATATTTATATTTAAATTCGCGGATGTTAATAAATTATACTATAAGGAAAAGTTAGACAATAGGCACTCAACTTCGCTGTGACGTTCTTAAATAAACTCTAATTTCTACTCAAACAACATAAACTCAATAACCTACATACTGAGGTACCTATTACTGTCTGCAAGCATTAACTTGAATTAAATTAACGTCAATAAGTAAAATTATTAAATATGAATTGTGTATGGAAAGTTGAGCAACAAATGGTGCTTATGATAAAGTGCATACATAATAATATATTATGTTTATATATAATGTATAAACTTTGTATGTATGCAATTTACTATACCGATACAATTTTAATGTGTATCTAAAATAACCTTAACTGTTCAAATGAATAATGAATATATTATATTATAAATTATAATTTATGCTTTTCTAATTAAAACTTAATATAATCTACAATATTCAAGGAAATAATAATAATTCACCCTTTTTTTTTTTATTTACAATTTTAAATCTATATAGTTTGAATTTCGTTATATAATGAACTGCGTAGATGTCTCAAAAAAATATACTATAACTAATATTATAGAATTTCCATACAAAATATACTGAATAAATTATACGAAACAAAATGATGTTATGTTGATCAGCAATGTAAATAATTTAGTGGCGTCATTGGAGATTAGTTTTATTTGATCGTTTACGTCATATTTGGCATATAAAATATGACTTCACAACCTTAGCTTTTATTTTATCTAAATACATTTGTTTAAGAGGTATATTTTTTTTTTAAGTACAAAATAATTTACTTTTTACTAGTTTTTATTATTTTAAATAAATATAGTACCTGTAGCTGGTTAGTAATATAAACAAATATTAATAAAACCTAATTAAAATATTTATCGTGAGTTTTTTAAGTGATTTTTACATTTTAATTAATTCATTTTATTATTATACCATTTTACCTATATAAATATTTAAATATTACATGCAAACACATTTCCCTCGGTATTTCAATACCAATTGGCCAGTTTATATTTGAGCTACCTACTCATCAGATTAAGATCCCATTTTATTTTAGATTCAGAGAGCAGCGAGGGATCTATTGGTTTTACTATGATGTGTGTTATATTTATTATTATTATTTTTTCTATCTGTTAACAACTTTTTGAAAAAAAATGTATAGAGCGTGTAGCACCTTTTCTTAAAGTATATTATATTTAGCTGGTGCATTAAACTGGTCATTTTTTTGACTTTTAGAAAGTTTTTCAAAAATAATTAGAAACAATCAGAAACAAAAAAAATACCGGTTTCATTGTTATTAATTTTTACAAACTATGTTTTCTATCAGAAATATTGCTTTAGTAGAAAAACGACAGGTGATCTTTTTGTTGTATTTTGGATCTAAATGCTCAGTGAGAAAGTTGTTTTTAGATTTTCCAAGTAGTTTTCATAATAATTAAAAAAACGAATAATCGGAAAAAATGTATAACAGGAAAATTTTCGAAAATAATTGTAACTTTTATGTTCAAAATATTACAATTTATAATTTGTTTTTATTTTTTAATTTGGCACAAACATTTAAAAGTAATATAATTAAACACAATAATTTAAACTAGAGGACATAATATAAGGAGATCCAATTTCTTCTATTATCGTTTAAATCGTGAATATTTATTTTCTTTGCATTATCTGAAATTCTGCTGTATGTCAGTTACAAATAGCAAACATTTTATGAATGGAAAAAAAAAAGTTCTTAGAAGCATTCGGCGTGACCGGAGTTTTGAACACAAATTTCGTATTGTTCTTTATTGCAGTATTTTGTACTTGTTATTCCATACCATATATCTGTATTAAAGAGTGTGCTCTGCGTTATATTAGATTGCCGCCCGTGAATATTTTCTATAGATATAATACAAAACCTATACCGAATAATATATTCCTCAATCAAGAAAGGATTTTGGAGTATACACTATACACGCATATAACTACGGTATTTTTCTCCGTTCTTTTTTTTACGATGTGAAATAAAAAATAAATAAATTACTATATATATAAATATATACATACTATGTACATAAAATAATAAATTATATTTTATAATGGTAAACAAAAATGTATATACATAATATAATATTTTATTTTTTTATTTTTTTACTATAAATATAAATTTTGGATAAAATATGTATCAAACAAAATAAAAAAATATTATACATTATTATATTATCATGATCACTAGGTATAGATTTTTGGACTAAACCTAACTTTCTAAGTGTTACTGCTGGGTAGCTACTCTTCAAGCTCTCATTTCTTGTATATTTATATTTTTTGTTCATGTTCCTATGCTTATTGTAACTTTATTGTGCCTATAAACCTACATAAAATATTTTCATTAATAAACTCAAAGACTTGTATACTACTTACGGAGGTACACATATCATCAGCGGCCTATCTCTACAGCTGTTTTTTGTTTGTTTGGTTATTAGGCGCATCGCCCACTATGCGGGACACCGGTCGTGGCTTGCGGGCCGAACAGTGGGCCAGATTTTGTGGTCGGTACAATTGCGCGGACGCCATCGAGAAACTCGCCCGCAACCGACTGCTGGAACGGACAACGTCGTACGGCCGGTGGGGTAGCGATCCGGAACTAGGCCCACACATGCTTATCAACGGCAGGCTAATGCAACCGCCCGCTGCCGCCGCTGTGTCAATCCATCGGTCCGCCACCCAACATCACTCGATCAAATCCAAGCTAAAGCGAGCGTTCCGAACGTCGTCCAATCCCGACTCGACCGGCACGGCCAACCAATACTCGCTGGTGTCGCAGCTGACGGGTGCCGCCTTGTGCGCCAGCAGCCCGGCATTGCCCGTGCACACGCGTGCCAAGCCCATCGTCAAGTCACTGCTCAGACCGTTGACCGTGCCCAAAGTGACCGTCACCGGGTTACAAGATCAGCAGCAGATGCCGGCGCTGTCGCCAAACGGTGCCGATTCCCGGGGCAAGAAACAGAAGAATAAAAAACGATGATGGCGATGTTTATGTTGATAACGAACCGGTTACGATTTATTATTATACTATTACTATTAATTATTATTACTATTACAATTAATTATTTATTATTATTGTTATTATTACATTATGAATGGGCTACGAGTATACGTAGGTATACAAAAACCAAATCGTCCGCACGGACGGATTTTGTATAGCTGACCGACTGTTTTTTAATGTTAATTTTTAGACGATTGCATTTGATTAATCTGGTTTAGACTAGTATTAAAAGATCTCTCGGCGTTTTTAATTTGAAATCTATAATCTTTTAACAATAATAATAAATTATGTTCCAATACTCAGTAGTGTAGGCGCTTAATTATAATTTACACATAGGACTTCAGATTTTCGGGTCTCTGTAGTAAATATTTTTGCGAGCCCTTAATTGGGGGATGAGCAAGAAAAAAAATTATAATAAAAATATGTAAATCACACGTAGATATCAGTAAAACGTAGTTAGATAGACATGTAACTGTATTTTCTATTTTTCTTAATTTATAAGTATGGGTGAGTATACTTGGCATTTTTTTTCTTTTATATATTAATATGAACTATAAAGTTTATTGTAGACGTTCAGTAAAAAAAAAAAAAGTACTCTACAGAATTTTTAAAGTGGGAAAAGTGGTTCTTGTATAAATAGAATTTATACAGTACCTATATAATATTATATAAGTTAAAGTGATATAGGGAGAATACTGCAGAGTTTACGTGCAATGTTGAAATGTTAAAAATTGCTAATGTCAAGTTCTATACCGAATAGCGGTAAACAACATTACGGTTCACACCAAAAAAAAAAAAAAATAAAATAGTTCCATTAAACCGCGGTATATAGGGGAATGTAAGTCAATAACTGCAGAAATCCTTTCGGGTATTATTTTCCATTACTTTTTATTCTGGATAAATAAATTTACGTTATTTTGTGTAGCAAAACATATACTTTGACCTTTGTCCTTTTTGCCACAAAATTATACCGTGTAAAATATATAATATGTTATGGCTTAAGCTTGCATTAAGTGTACTGCACTTTATTATTACTGTAACTCGCCAACCAATGTTTACAATTACCTATACCTATAGTTAGATTTGGACTATTTCCGCTAATATATCGGTAGTTTCATTGTTATTTGATGAAAGTAATCAATTATATACCTATGCACTAAATATCAACACTAATACGTACAGATTTGGTTTAAATTTTAAATATTTTAAATTCTTTACTCTGATATAGAGTTGGTTTTTTTTAATTTTTGTTTAACTACATGCAAAGTATTATTGTTCGATGTGATGGAAGGAGGGTAGAGAGAATAAAAAAAGAGGACAATTTAGATAAAAAATTGTTTTTAGTTTTGATCGAAATCAAGGAAATATTCAAAACTATTTATTTTTGAAAATCAATACCCGTAGCTATGTACTTGCAGTTTATTTACCCGCAGTTTTATTTTTTTTTTATGCAAACTCAAACGAGTGTATTGTAATACATAAAATATTATATCAAGTTCAATTTAACCAGTAAAACGGAGTGTTTACAAGGGATGAAAGTTAGAATGCAACATTCATGTATGTTAATAACATTTGAAGGGAAGTAAATTTAAAAAACAAATATATTTTCATTATAACACTGTATTATTTAGATTACGCCTTATATTCAGATTATGTATAATTAGTTGTTTGTTGTACCTGTAGTGCTCATATTTCATTTTATATTATCCGTAGCATAATAGGATACAACTAAACAGTACTACACAAATACTAGGAAAAAAAAAACTAAAAAAAAGTCACTCGGAAAATAATCGCATATTCCCGTAAATTCGTATTATAATAATGTCCCAATAGTGGAACGAAAGAAACTAAAATAAAAGTACCTATAGTGAATTTCACGTTTATTAATAAGATACAGATTAAATTGATATAATGTTAAGCAAAATCATAAATGTATTTATATACCGACGAGTCCTTTCTTTTCCTGGAGATTTATTCCGAGTGACTCTTTTCTCGATTTCTATACGCATAAATACAAACAACACATATACATAACATATTATTACGCATATTATACAGCAATTATACTTGATACATTATAAATTATATTATGTATATTATATAAGTAAAGCAACTAAAAAATAACCCGAATTTCCGATTAATATGAAGTTCTCTAAACTTTAAGTGGTGCTCCTCTATACTCGATTTCCAAATTTCATTTTTTAGCTTATAAATTAACAATATTATACTAAAACTACATATTTTTTTTTTTTTTTTTACTTGTTGCATTTTTTATATTTTTGTATTTCTTTGTTATTCTTGTGCGTATACCATTGCGACGTGGATATTAACTAATGTATTATAGTTTCATAACTTTGTAACTTCAGAGTTATTTAGTTAATTAATAAGATCTTATCGACTTAATACGGAAAATATTTACCGATGATATCCTGTGTTAATTAATTTTCCTAAATTTTGCGTCATGAACACCGATTATTTCTCATTAATCTATGTTTAAACTCGTTATTATCGCATTTATACAACAATATAAATTATTTATACCTTACTACCTATAGGTACCTAGTAAAATACATATTTACTTCGAGGAGTAAATAGGTATTTTTTTAATATTTTTTTTCATAATATCGTATAAGTATGTTTCAAATTTATAACTAAATATACAGTAGAAAACTAGATGGATTTACTATATATTAGCGATTTATTAATGGATTGTTATAATAATATTAACTATGAATGTTTAAACATTTTTCATCTTTACGAAAACCATACAAAATATAATTATGATTATCCAATTGTTTGAAAACGTCTATGATAGATTGTTATTTTTCTCAACGATTAAGACTCTCTTTCAGTTATTATTCGATACATAAAATAATATTACAATATATTGTCGGTTTTAAATTTAATGTAAACTTTATGCAAAATATTTTTCCATTGCTGTTGTTATACATATGTTATTATTTATTAAAATTATAAAAGTCAATAAACCATATCATAAAAATGTTTACCTACTTTTTTCCGTTGTTATAATATAGTATGTATATATATATATTTTATGTACACAAACTCCTAACGAAAAGAAAAAATTGCTAGTTTTAAATTACCTATATAGGTCAGTACCTATACTGATGTATGGTTTATACGGTATTATGTAGAGTAGGTAATACACCTATATTATGAAAATTATTGTGATTTTTTTTTATATAGTATTATTGGTAGGTACTATTTTCCGACTTTTATTGTTTTTAAATATGGAATTTCGAACTTTTAAGAGTAATAAATATTAAGCAATTTTTTTTCGCAGACCAAAATTTTGTAAATATTTGAAGATCCATAGAAGGTGATGGAAATATCGCGGTTAAAATACCTATACTGTGGAAGATTAAAAACCTAGATAATATGATGATGACAGGTATATGAAAAATTACACTTATAGTGATGACGTAAATTGAAATTGTTTTAAACTAAATACAAACAATGAAGTCGTACAATATTCTGGTGTTATAATAGTTAAATACATATAATAAACATCTTAAACATTATTGTTATTATATTTATAGGAACTTCGAGATTCGTTAAATTCTCGAAAATATTACACGAATGGTATACATTATAGACATAATAAATAATAAATTATTATCATAATAATATTAAATTGGCATTTAGTACAAACTAGAAAATGTATATAATTATAATGAGCATTCATAAACAATTGTTAATTTTACAACTATAAAATATTGCATAGTGTTTATTAAACAATTCTATACACCTACCTATTATGGATTTTAACAAAGTGTTCCTAAAATGAAAACATCGAAAGTCCAATGAAGGCATTCCTTAAGCTATAATAAAAGTGAAGTGTTATTTTAATATTATAGTGAAATTGTACATTTTTTTTTTAAAATTATCCATCACATAAGGATTTCGTACCCTCACCGAGAACGTTTATGAAATATATAACTTTTCTTGAAATCGCGTATAGCAAACACGTTAAAATGTTCTATAGTCTTATCACAGTAAATTTTAAAATAATTGTTACGATTTTATAATACAGTAATGATGATATACATGTATAGTAACTCAAATCTCATCGTTGAATTGTTTATTTCGCCTACGCCTTTTAGCCCTACTGTTTAGTAAAAGTTCGCACGCTTGTTGTACTTCGAAGAATCGATTTTGAACTTCATTCTTGGTCGCGTCGTCTTTAGCCTTGTCCGGATGGTATTTAACTGCTAACGCTCTGCATTGATTTTTTATTTCAGTCTGAGTAGCGCCAGATCGCAATTCCAATACCTTAAACATAATACAAACCCAATTGTGTTTTGATTATTATATTATTAAACAATGTATAGAAGCGTACAATAAAAGACCACACTGCAGTTCGTTTAGACTTTTATAAATTATAAATTGTATTATTATTATTTCGTATTTATAAAGTCGTAACATTTTTCTTTTAGACACATTTAATTTCTACTTATTGATTCGTTGTATACGTATTAAAGAAATGCTGTTAAAGAAAAAAAAAAAAAAAAAAAAAAATGTAATTTTATTAAACGGAGAAACGCAAGACCGTTTGAAAATGAAAAACGCATTCAACCTCTCAGGAATTAATATGAAATTTCAAGTGTCGCTATGTATAAAACATTTTATAAAGTTAGAGTATAAACTATATATAGATATAATTAGGCGCGTTATATATATATAATATTAAGTATGTTTAGTTGCGTTATTAATAGCGTGTCAAAAAGTATAGTATATTACAGTGGAGAACACATTACGAAGTTTCCAGTTTCTTCTTTGGACGCATTGTACCTAGGCGGATTATAGTATATTGCGTTACATTAAAATAAACAATTTAATTAAACTCCGTTGACTATAAAAGTTGATGTTTGTTTTTGCGTTAAATAATTAATTTTTCGCCGATACCGCGGTTAACTAGGCCGAAAAGGTAAAATCAATAGATGACGATGCATTATTAACGGAACATTATTATATAGGCATAGGTTACGTCATGTGTACTAACGAAAAAGAAAAATGATAATATAATTTCGACAATAACACGATAAGATTACTGTACAGGTGTACGCATGCTTAAACGGATGACGCGGATTATGATGATGGAGGAACGATTGACGGATCACCGTCCTTTTTTAGATGGAAAAAAAAACAAAAGCGATTAACTATATACAATAACAAGTTCAAAATAATTTTTTACGTGTTAAAAATGACTGTGTATCGTAATAATGGAGATTGGTAAGCCGTGAATTTGTCGGTAATGCCAATTAAAATTAATGACTACATTAAGATAGGTGCAACGTTATCAAATGAGTATATCATACAGTTGAAGAGACGCGGGGCGGAAATTCTTTCCCGAAATTTATAATTACTAATAAATAATTACTATACAGACAAAGGTAATCTACACGCGTTTTCCTGTAAAATATATCTTGCGCTCGTATTATTATTTCGGCTAATCCATACACAATAGACGTAGAATTCTGTAAATTTATAATCGATTACACACTACTATAATAACAAAATAGATAGTGTATTGCAACGCATTAATTTCGATAGGTGCACGCGATTTATTTGTACAATATATCACCTTGAAAGCGTTCTGTTCGCCTGAAGGATCAGATAACGAAACTATTTGTCGCCACGTCTCCATCCAGCCGTGCTCTTGGGCGAATAGCCACACGTCGATAAACGATTGTTTCACGTCCAGCCACCAAGGCGAACTGAAAAAATGACCTAGTGCCTCGTGGAATGGTACTTCGTCTCCGTCGTCGTCTGTCACTTTGGCGTTAAAATACAAATAACTGCTCCACAAAGCCAAGTACAATAGACAGCACATACTGATCACGAATATTCGCCTGGAAATATAAACAATATTATGTTGGCCGGTTAAAAAGAGCTCGTTAATTCATTTTTTCTAAATAACATTGAATCCGAAAAAAAAAACCACCCCGGGGTAAGTATAAATATTTCACAGCGTGTATACTTAATTAGAAAAAAAAAACTTTAAATAAAAGTTTTTTTAAACTTATAACTTAATATTTAAAACATTTAAAATTATAATCAAAATTTATTATAAATAATTTAGCTAAAATGTCCATTATATGTTTTAATTATAACTTTTCGAAAAATACAGAATAAATCTTAAAAAAAAAAAAAATAAAATAAAAAAATGCTTACTTTAACGTGCCGGGAGTCTTTTGGTTTTTCGGTCTCCACCGTTTTTCCGAATGGTCAAATGCCCACGCCGTTGCTAAAATCATTACAGCGAATGAAGTGGACTCGTCAATATCGTAACCCCACGTATTGAAAATAAACGTTTTCAATGGATTTCCAACAATAGGCACTAAATATGCGCATATCAATGGCCATTTCAAAGATCCTGTTTCATGGCCAATATTTCCCACAGCCCACACGCCTGTAAATTCATCAATGCAATTAATAATCACACGCGAAACGTTTTATTAATACGTAATAATATTGTAATTTAGTGGGCATTGCCTTTATTATGTACATAATAAATAAAGAAACTAAATACAGTTTCCCAAATACGGGCGGTGAGGGCGTTTATTGTAACGAATTATTAATCGTTCGTCGGTCATAATGTATGGTAACATAAATTACAAGTATCTTCACGGACACTTTATTTATTGTTACGGAGTAAATTTAATTGTACAGTTAAACCGTTTGTTTTTTTAATAGCAATAATCGTTATTGTATTTATTCGTCGTTTGATAAGAATAGTTTAAAAGTGTGCATCATATTTTGACGGTTTATTATAGAGAAAATGAATAACTATATATAGTATAACGCGATGTTTTACCTAGCAGGGGCGCCAAGTACAGTTAAGCTCTGGCTGGGCTGCGGTCCCCCGTGGACTTAATAAGATGGAACTCAGCCCCTCCCCCCACGGTTCTCATATTATGTATATAAAAAAAAAAAAAATATTTATCATGTACATCATCAAAATACTAATTTTATTTATAACAAATTAATTGAGAAAGATAAACGTTTTTTTTTTTCTTTTGATATTGATAGCAGAGAAAAAGTGTAGATTGTCTGGTGATTTCTCATGATGTTATTAAAAATGTAAATGTTATAACATACAAAACAACAAATAACCATATTTTATTAGTTATTGTTTAACGAACAATTTAAGGAATATAAAAATAGGAAATATATGGTAAGATATAGGTACATCGGTACATGTGTTTATAAAATAGTGAGCTCCTTATGGCATTTTTAAAACCTAACGCCTCTGATACCTAGTAATGTGCAATTTTGTACAAGACTAAAATGAACTGCAAATCCAAATAAATTATATTATAGTTTGAAAAGAAATTTTGAAAATTTAACAACACTATAATTATTGCAGGCAGTAACACTTATGGTACACCATATACTGTAATATTAAATTGCTTACCCAAAGCCGCGGCTAGAGGAGTAAATGCGTGTAACCATTGCCAGCTGAGGCCTGCGACGTTATCTTCGGGTATAGCCAGTGATACGACGGTACTGAATAGATAAGCTACGACCACCATGCCGGTGAATCGAACCGTTGAAAACGGTGGCTGAAAAATACAACATTATAGTATTATAAAATATGGAGATCACCAGTCAATAGGTACATAATATGTATGTTGGAATCGTGGCAGAGTGGCTGGTCTAGAAATGAAAATTTTCCAAATGGCTTGATAATTGTATACAATACAATACTTTACTTATTCGTCTTATTTAAAATGTTATACCAAGACACATAATATTACCTATTATATCAGTTACCTGTCTATTAAGTTTTTTTTAAACACATTTCCGTTTAAAGTATATGTTTATTACATTAAATGTATGTGTATGAAATTACTTTTCTACATTTTTTCGAAGGGTCCAAACTCCTTCTTACCTCTTTTATCTTCGCCCGTGTCTCAAGTAGAAACGTATTTATAGTTACTCTTAATTCAAAATCCTAGCTTCACCACTGGTTAAAATTAAAACGTGAGGGAAATTTTGTTTGCCGAGTACGTAGATTTTATTGGTTGGCCTAGATAAATTTTAATTGCCCTGTCCGAATTTAGTTCCCACTCCGCTTCTGTGATTACGCCTATTTTACCATTGAAATAATATGTATCTACTACCTATACATATAATATTAGCCTGCTTCTACATATATAGGTTTTATTTTTTGTTAAACGCTTAAAATCTACCGGGAAAATATGTTTCAACAAAAAAAAATACCTTTATATTGAAGATAACTATTACTGTGATGGTATAATAATATAAAGATTACCGGGGTAGGCATAGGTACCTACCATAATATACTCTATGGTTAAATTGTATATATGTTTATCTTATATCTATAGATTAATATACCTAAAAAACTTTAATTTTTTTGCTATTACTTTTCACTAGGTTTACTTCGAGAAGACATAGCCAGTAGATATTTTCCGAAGAAAAGAAAAATTCATTTAAAACTAATAATATTACGATGGCTCGTTCGAAATCTAAAATGTCAAACAACATTATTAATCATCTTTTGGAAAGTATACATATATAGTGAGTAGAGTAGAATATATTATTATGTAAATTGAGTGAATTATAATGATGAATTTCGTCGTGAACTTTTTTATCCGGTTAATGCCGACTATAATGTTTAAAAAGTTTTTATTTATTTATAAACTGTACTATAAAGTATAAACACGCGAAACTCAAAAATGGTAGGCAAACGGAACTTTTTTCAGACAGTGTATATTATATGTTACAATAATCAACGGGCCAACAACATCTATTTTCTATATTAATAATTTAAAAAAATTTTTAAAGATATCCAATTGATTCCTGATAAATTATAATATAGGCGTAATACGTTATTACGTAACGAACGGTGATTCTAAAAGAATATTTTTTTGTCTAGTTTGGTTCATTGGTTGCAAAAAAAAAATGGCATATTATATTTTATACGTTGAAACGTTAGAAATAAACAGGACATACTTCGCGCCATGTGTAGATCACTTTCTTATTGGCGGGAATATGGGAAAGTATATATAGGATATAGGGTAATTTAGTCTATTTACTGAAAGCAACGATAAACCGTTACAAACCGATTCTGAGCGAAATTAGATAAACCGGTTCGGTTATAACGTATTTTTTCCCTTGTAACATAGGTAACCTAAAAATTAACAACAGTTTTTAGTTTTTTAGAAAACCTATTGGGAATTTAGAATTTTTAAATGTGAAAAATCGGAGCATTTTTTTTTTTTAATAACCGAAAAAATACTTTCCGATAATGAAGAAAACACGTCATCTTAGAAAATGAATATCTTCTTCGCTACCTTAAGCGATAAATGTTTCATAATTATTTTCATTAACAATACTAATATTAAAATATCTATAAAAATAAAAAAGATACGGAAATACTGTGGGCCACAGTTGTAGGGGAGAAAAGTTGGGAAGGTAGAAGGTCGATTGCTATCGAAAAACGAATCAGAACGGAGTTCGGTTAATAGTGTTGCTTTGTAGTATTTACGAATTAAGCCATAATATTTACGAATTCATCAAAATTTGATACTTAAATTCTTATAAAAAAAAAAAATAATAATAAATACTATATTAAGCTCAATATTTTTTTTTTTTTTTTTTTGAACTTGGTATAATTTATAATGAACCTCCCATTAAATTTTCTAGCATTTCTGTTTGGTCTAACAATTTTCTCCACAAAGTACCTATCGAACAAAAATTACATAAAAAAAATCCCGTAAAATTAAAATGCCTGTACAAAACTCTAATATGGCTACAATGTTTTGAACATTTGACTACGTCTAGGCAGTTATAAGTTTCCAGTCCTGAGTCAAAACAAAAAACAATATAATACATTTCGTAAATGTTCCCGGTTTTTCCAATTTATTATGAAAACAGCTGGGTAAATTAAAAAATTACCTACTTAGAGTATCACCCCAGTCATATTCTTTCCAGAAAAAGTGCTATACTTGAAAATCGGAGCAAAATTGTTGGTAGAAAAATTGTTCACAGATGAAAAAAAATTAAATATTGTAAAATCAATATATGCCTAGAACCGTTCTTAAATGTGAATAGAATATAAATATTTATAATATTTTTTGATACGTATAAAATGTTGCAAGTGTTAATCTTTAAAAATATTTAAACATCTGAAGTAATTAATTAATTTTGTACGGTGATACGCGGAATCGGGAAAACATTTAGAAAAGTAAATATTTAATATTAAAGTGAAAATTATTAAAATTATTGTAATTAAAATATAAAAACGAAAAATTTGAATCTCATTTCAGAACGCGTATGGATCCGTTAAAGTTGATGAGATGGACCGTTTTGGCAGTTGTCCTGTCTTAAGTTTCATTTATCAGGGACCACAGTCAGCCTAACACGCCTACCGTCCCGTCTCCATGTCAGGAGCGTCGGACGAACGGAGGGCCGGAACCGATCGGCATTAAGCCGTTTGCACTTTCTGCAATAGGGATCCGGGGACATTCCTCGGGTCGGTTTAGGGGCAACCTAACCTAACCGCTCGGTTGCCGCGCCACGAGTGTAGACCCGACGGTAAGGCGTCAAATGTGAAATGTTGGTTGCTCGTCTGGTAGCCGTATATATATACTAGACATTGAATCAATGTGAACATACACGAGAGTAAAATTTTGAAATACTCCGAAAGCGCCATCTACCGCCAAACCCTAACGTCAACGGTTGTGACCGAATTTTCAATTTTTTCAATCGAATATTAAAGAACGCCACTCACTACACAAATTTAATGGCCCAGTGGATACCACATTTACGATACGACAGATGTTTTGAACTTTTTCAAATACGCTACAACATAATAATTCGTATTATAAAATGTAAATTTTTTTCGAATTCACAATATGATTTTAAATACAATAATTATAATTGTATTATTTTTATTTCGTTCCAATATTTCTAGTAGATATTTTAAATCGTTTTTTTTTTCTCGGACACACGGTTTCGATAGACATACCAACTATAATAATAATCATTAATTTTACAAAACCTTTATTTACCTATCCACTATATTATTATACACGTCCCGAAATAATTGTTTACACTCGTTTATGACTAAAATAACATTTCAAACGTGTGCATGTTATGTTGCTTAATATTTAAATCGCGATAAATATTTATTATGTATTATTTGTTAACAAGTATAATATTATATCATATGTTTAATTATTTTAGGACTTGTTCGTGCATGGAAAAAAACGTACCAGCAATAGCTTGTTGAATGTTTGACCGAGTCTAAAATTCGGCTCGAGTGGATTTAATGTGCAATATACTGGACAAGTAACTCAATTTCAGTAACCGAGTCAAGTCACAGTAACTTATCTTGATTTAGTGAATTAAATAATTAAAAAGTTTACAAGTACCTACAAGCAAAAGTAACTCGTTAGAATAAAGTCAATATAGTTACTTCTGCAGAAAGCTATTTCTAAGAAAATTATACTTATGAATTGGTAAACTTTGAAAATATTGTTTTAATAATATTATAAATAATAATATATAAAATAATATACAAATATTGTTTTAATATCAGTATATTAGTTTAAATTCAAACCATCAAAATCAAGACATTTTTAAATTAACTGTAATATTGTAACGAAGTGATAATATCTGCTCATTTTGTTTTGGTAATTGGTAACTATATAGTTACAAAGTCAGTATATTTACAGGGGGAATAAAATATATGACTTAACAGAAGTTACAGCAATTTACATTAATACAACCATAGATTTTCCATTACGTCCATTACGGTAGGATAATGTTTAGCAACTGCCGTTACTTTCCGGCTTCGGCAAACGGACTTATAAATTCAGGGAAAACAAGCGTACCTATATGCACGTTCTGCAACACCCACTTTTGTCACTCTGTCGGTTACTTATTTTAACCGCTTAAAATTCGTATCCGTTTAATTGTTTCGTACCGGTTTGTCCGGAAAAATAACCGTAAATAATAATATTACAGACGAATATTATCATTAGGTACTGACGACGACGAGGATGTACGGTCGCGTTCGTATTCCAGAAACGCCGTCGTCGTGTGTACGGCACAGGAGGTGATTAACCTACACACGTAATGTCGTGTTCGTCAAGGTTACATTCCTAAACCAACGGAAGGGGACCACGTACGTATCTGGTAGCGTTTCTTGTTTGGTTATCCACCCATTGGTGATATTACAGTTGTTAATACATATTATGGTTTTTTCGGCGGATTCATTTTTTTTTTTTTTTTTTTTTTTAATTTTTCCCGAATATCCACTAGGGCAACGTAAACGCGTAATAAATAGTACACCTGTTATAGAAATAAGCTCCGCACAAAATAATTCGTGTTTGAAAATAGCGAATTATAATAATATTTCAGTTTATCTGAAATCTAGAAAAAATCATAATAGGTCCGGATTCTAGACCTATTATACGTATACAGGGTGATCAATCTATCATAAGACACTCATTATCTCGGAAAGTATTAACTTTTTTCGACATTTGTTTTATAGACAATTTAAAAAACAAGCAGCTCTGCAATTTTCCGTTTATGTTATTTTTTGTTATTCTAATTTTTAGTGAAACGATTACTCGCTTTTGATTTTCATATTGCAACCGTTGCTAAAAACTCGATAAATAGATTGAGTAGTAGTTCAAATACATTTTGTTGTTTAAATTTTTAATTTCCGTCAGTCCGTTGACGAGATATACCACTTTTAAGTTTGAATCGGGGGAAAGTAGTGTTACATTATTAAAACGCCGCGCGCTGTGTCGCCACACAAATGATGATCAACTATTCTCTCCCTACCTAAACTTAAAAGTGGAATATCTCGTCAACGGATTGGCGGAAATTAAAAATTTAAAAACCAAAATTTATTTTAACTACTACTCAATCTATTTATGGATTTTTTAGTGTAGGTCGCCGTTTGAAAATCAAAAATAGGTAGTCGTTTCACACCCAATAATTAGGGTGACAAAAAATAATGTAAATATAAAATTTTAGAACAGTTTGTTTCTTAAATGCTCTTTAAAACAGATTTCGAAAAAAGATAATATTTTTCTAATGAGTATCTTACGATAAATCGGTATACCCCGTATACTATTGATTGATTTTTGTTTCGAGAGATTTGTCGTAGGTATAGTCTTTATCAATGATTGTTATTTATTGATAGGTATAAAATCGAAAAATATGAATTAATTCGTACGAGTTATGGTGGTTATACTATACGGCTATTGCAATAATATCATCACTGTTTGTTTAATTTATGTTTTTGAATGAGAACATTATTACCCGTAAAATCGTCTAAAACGATAATAAATTATTCAACCGTAAATGATGAACGGTTAGGAAAATTTATTACCTACCTACGTATATTTATTCGCCATGATATAAATCGTATAAATCTGTCATTTTTTTGTTTTATTTCTCATAAACGTTAACATAATAAATTATATACAATGAGTAAAAAGTAAAATTTTATTACTGTGTATTACGGAAATTTACATAGATCAAAAGAAAGGTGGTAATGGACACTTTCCAACAGTTTATATACTAAAGTACTACAGATAATTTTCTAATCGAATGTTTTATTGGAAAGACTAACTACCGAATATTAACAAAAACCACGAAATGTGTAGAAACAACTAGTTCGAATAGTTTTCGAATCCATCGATTAGTTCAAATGCGAACTATTGAATAGTTCGACTATTCGGTTGTGTCCATAGTTAGAAAAATTAAATATTTAATAATTAATAATAATATTGTGTTCGATGAGGGGGGAAAAATTACATGTTTTGTAAAGATAATAATTTATTTCATGAAAATTGAAGAATAACTAGAGTAGTATAGAGAAGCTATATTATATAGTGTTTCCCCACTGTGTTCGACGGATTTTTCTGGCACTACAAATATCTTAATCATAGGCGTTTTATTTTTTAAAAAATAGGTGTGAAAACAATTAATATTCAATAAAATAACTGCACGTTATAAGATAAGGAATTACAATCAGCACGGTAGGCTATTCGTTGCCTTCTATTGGATATTAATTGTTTTCACGCCTATTTTCTAGAAATTAAAACGGCTATAACTAAGAAATTATTCATCGGATATGAATATGTGATGCATTAAATTGTTTGAATACGATTTTTTACAAAATGGGTGTTTTGAAAATTGTCTAAAGTGAATAAATAAAGTTATTATTTGTGTGTGTGTGTGTGTGTGTGTGTGTGTGTGTATGTGCGTGTTGTGTGTGTGTGTAGAAGATAAAAATAAAAATTTAATTTTTCTCCAAATTGATGTCCCCCTTGAAGACGAACCGATCGAAAAAGGAATCGAAAAAAATTAATATTAACAGCGCTATAAAAAACCGTCGATCACGATGAGACACTCTGTATTTATTTCACAATAACTATAGTTACAAATTAATAGTCATAATTTTCAATTAAAATGTATTAAAAAGTTTTCAGCCGAACATTTTTCAGAATCATATTTTATTAGCAATGATTTATTGTTGCATAAGTATACTGGGCGATTCATTTAAGTGGGTATACTCATTATCTCGGAAAGTATTAACTTTTTTCGGAATTTTTTTCTAGAACATTTATGAAACAAGCTGCTCTACATTTTTATATTTATGTTTTATTTTTCATCCTTATTTTCGGGGGTAAAACAACAACCTACTTTTGATTTTCAAGTGGCACCCTATATTAAAAATTCCATAAATACATAGAGTATTAGTTAAAATAGATTTGAGTGTTGATATTTTTGATTTCTATCAAGCCGTTTAAGAGATATTCCACTTTTAAATTTAGGTTAAAGGAGATTAATATATCCTACCTTCCCACCTACAACAATGGTACAACATAGTGCGACATGCGAACTAAATGTCGGTTTTTTTTAATGTTTATTATATTACAATAGCATTTTTATGAAAACAATAACAGACAATAGTACACGTCACACCAATGCGGCTTCTTTTAAATATTTGATTAACACAGTTTGTACAATTTTTAAAAACGATAAATAATTTGTATTCTTTGCTATATTCTCAAGCAGAGGCGGATCGCTCCCCAAGTATACTGTTTGTTTGATTTTCATAACAAATTTGTGCCTTATATGAATTTTCAAAATTTTCCCCCCTCCCTGTTATCTTGTACTAGTTACGTCCCCGGCCACAATAAAAAGACTTTATAATTTAGATTCACTTTGCTTGCATTATAATATTAAAAATAATAATACATTTCTATTGAAGTTCTATTCTGATACTTTGCCATTTAAAAATCTTGGGTAAGCCATGGTAACGTCCTGACCCTATCATACATAGTTCGTAACAAAACAGGTATTCAATAATATAGTACAGTAGTTTTAAATTTAAAATTGTGTGTACCTATTGTTTTAGAGATCTATGGCTTCTATTCTTTATTATGGTTATGTTTGAAAGTGTATTACTTTTTAATCTCGTCAAATATAATTCACAATTCATTGGAAGCGATACAATTAAATAGTTAAATTCTCAAAACCATGGTACCGTAGCTGAGATATCTCGTAAGTAGGTAACCTGCATGCTGCAACAGTAACCTACATTAATTATTAGGTGTATTGTTATATTAATTATATTGCATTTTACGATTCTTCATTAAATAACTACCTACATTACAGATAGTATAAATTAAATGTATTTTTTTTTTTTTTTTAGTTCAGAGTAAAAATAAAACCAATTTAAATTACTTACTAAAGAAACCGTGACCGTGATTATAGGTAGGTACGTATATTTGTATTCACAGAGGACAAAAAAAAAAAAAGAAAGGATTCCTCTGAAAGTAAAACGCTGACCGCGTTTGAGTTAACAACAGCGGACGTATGAATGAACGATAAGAAAAAACAATAATAATAGGTAAACCAATGCAAACGGATACTTATACGGAGGAATACTTTTAATAGGTAGCTAATTTTAATCATTGTTTAAATTGTAGCCTAGATAGGTCGTTTTAAACGGTTGTTATTCAAGTATAATATAGGTATATATTTAACTAAACGTTTCAAAAAGACGAACATACTTCGCACGATGGGCGGACCACTGTTTTTGGTAAGAAGTTGGGAAGGAAGGATATACATATAAAGAGGAATTTAATATGTATATCTGTACGCAACGATTAATCTTTCAATTAAAACGTTTATAGTTAGCTCAAAAACGGCATAATGTTTTGGAAATTTGACTAGGTCTATAAAAAGCAAATATAAGTTTTCTGTCCAAATTTCAAGTCTCAACGAACATTTTGAACTGAATTACAGCGAAAAATAAAATTGAAAATAATAAAAGCATTTTTTTCGTAATTTTTCCCGGTTTTTCTTAACTATTATGAAAACCATTTGGCAAATCAACTTAGAATATGACCGTCCTATCAAGTACTTACTAGACACAATTTTTTTTCAGAAAATGTAATACACTTGATACATCGGAGCAAGATTTCTGGTAGAATTTGTGTACACAGTATAAAAGAACACAGCATTATTGTAAAACCAATACATTTCTTGCTTCGCTCATAATCTAAAACATTTCTTGTTAGAATAATTATAAATTTATAATATACTGATTCCCAACGTAGTATTTCAAGAATTCAAACAAACGTTCAATATGATACGAACGTATACAATATTATAGAAACGGAATAATTTAATATAGCAGAGTTAGCTAGGTAAATGATTCACAAAGGTTTTGCGTAAATTAATTTCTGTACCCAGCTAAATATCTATACTGGGTCAAATTGTCAACGCTTTCAGGAATATAAACATTTATAATAATTCAATCTCTTGAACTTTTGGTTAAAGTTACAACACGTACAGAATGGTATAATAATATTATCGTCGAGAAAGTATGTATAATATCTATGTATACTTTCTCGGCGTAATATTTCTATATATATATATACTCGTATATTATGTCAAAATAATTGTATTAAAGGCGTGCACATTCTAGGATATTTCAATGAGGAGTGGAGGAGGGACAAGAGCTACAAAATAGTAAATACATGTCATGTATACTCGTAATATACAATGCAAGGGAAATTTTGTAAAAAAATTTTTTCGAGGTTATTTTGAAAAATACTAAATAATTATAAACAATCTAACAAAATATTGTATAATACTTACAATTCTATTTGTATTCACTCGAGTAAGTATACAGACAGTGAAATGTGTAAATGTGAAACGATTATTTTATTAGGTAGTAATAAATTCTCAATGTTGAATAGTTTCTAATATGTGTTTGTGTTTTAGCACAACTAATGGAGGGACAGAGGGCTGAAGTTCCCCATTGGGCTCACCTGCCCCTGGGCACGTCACTGGGTCAAATTAATGATCGTTCATGTCCAGATATATTGCCACGTATAGTATTATCAATTATTACCATAGTGTAGATTTAAAATTCAAAATGGTAGTACTGCAGTGTGTAAAGAAATACGAGTATAAGGTAGTGAGTAGAAACTCGAAAAACAATAATCGTCGCGGTTAAAGAACACGTCATAGAAAAAAATAATACAAATATGGGCGATAGTTCAACTGACAAAAATATGGCGAAAATATTGTAGTTAAACAAATGTCGATTTGTCGATATTTATAATTATAAACTGATACAAATTGAATATAATATAATATAAAAGTTATAATTATTGCCGTCTTTTGGGGAAGAGGGGGATGAGCCAACGGGACTGAATGGAAAAACCAAATTATAAACGACTCCTAATTATATTTTCAAGTCGAATGTATAAGAAGTGTTCGAATTCATATCAATGCTTTGGATTATCAATATTATCGCCACCGGAAATCCATTATAGGTGTCCGTGGGACAACGTTTTGACCGCGACGTTTTACTCGTTGTACGGAATCTATAATATATAGACATGCACGACGAGCAATCCAGTTTCTGTACCGAGTTGACCCATATTTTCATTTATAATAATAATAATAATAATATTCTAGGTTATGCTGTTTGTATTTTTTGACCGGAATCCGTGAAAACGTCCCGTGCGAAAAAATAAAAAATAATAATAATAAACCTAAACCCGAGTATGCTCATCCGTCACGACAATTCGCCACGCGAGTTCAAGGTGATCGACGAGAGAAATCTGTCACACACATATTATATATGGACGGATCGCCGGCAGTGAGTCGGTGGCCTATAATATGTAGGCGGAAATCGGAAACTCGTACCCGGTATAGCGAGTATAATAATAATAACGTTTCATTTCTCTCGCGGTGTACATTTTTTTTTTTTTTTTTGTTTCGTTATTACTTTTTTTTTTTCCCTCAATGCCCATCAGTCTCATCGTTTGTCGTCCGACCCGACCCTTTCTACCGACATCTACTCTCTTTCGCGCCGGGTCGCCGTATAATATATATATATATATATACTCGCTACCTATGCGGAAACCACATCGTTTACGTATACCGTCTCATAGCGTACGCCCGGGGATACGGCGAACATACAGGATGCGGTCCGCGCCGAGATCCGACCACGTCGATTACTGCAAATATTGCGATTGACTGAATATCCTACGGATACACCCTGTATATTGTATCGCGATACAACGCGCCGCGAATTCGGGCCTCGGGGACCGTTTTTTCGTTTTCCCGTCGCCCGTAAACCAATAATATTCTTATTGCGCGGCGTCGCCCTTGTGTATCGTTTCATTTTCCGACACTGTGTTGACGCGGGGATAGCGCGGCGGAAACGCAGTTTCGATTCCCGAAAGGTTTTTGGAAACCGAAGCAAAACAACCGACCAATCGGAAACTGCTGCAAATATTACCCGCCTGTATCTTGTCACGTACAATACGTCGTTATTTAATAATTAATACGCCCCGCTCACCTTTTCGTATACCCGAACCATGTAGTCGACTTTTTTCATGTATTTCTCGTCCTTGTTGGCGTCGGCCACGTACTCGCCGATGTAGAACGCGTCCCTCAGCCAACCGAACCCGAAGTATCCGCCGAACGTGCACCACCACAGTACGCCTTGCAAGTCCCTGCCCAGGTAGAAATGGTGAAGCCCGCACACGCCGCCCACCAGCCACAGCAGATATGTGAGCGCCTTGCTCTTGTTGCAGCTCTTTGCGGCGCTGTTATTGGCGGTGCTCCTGGTTCCGCCGCTGCCGTCGTTCCCTCTGTTGACGATGGCGCCCCTGCTCATGACGAGGTCCTTGCACCGCCGGACGAATAATTGTTGTTACGCGTTGTCGCAGTGAACGGTACTGTGCTGCACAGCGACACGGAGTGCTGATAATAACATAAGTGCGCGGAAACGCGTCTCCGGTGCGCCGCGGGACCGAGTCGTATGCGCGCTATCGGTATGCGGATTGTGCAGTAACGTATACGCCGCCGTCGTCGCGACTCGCTGTAGGTACACTGGATACGAACACTACCGGCCGTCCTCGGAACACGTATGCGGCGCGTCGTCTCGGTGGTGCCGAACAAGTGGCACGGGTAACGGGATTCCCGGATGTAGGCCACCGCGGTACCCCGCGAATGAACCGCTTTCACGACGACGTCGTCGCCGTGACGTCACGACCGGCGCAGGCGCGCTCGCACGCCTGTCCAACGCCGAACAGGTTGTCGGCCGCCACGATACGACCTGTTCCACTGCGCCGTATTACAATAATATTATTATTAAGTGTACCTATATACCTAAACGCCTCGCGCCGGTTTTTTCATATTGTAATCGACACGATATTGACGTGTTTCGGCGGTGCGGTTTTTGGTGAACTGCAGTTTCGCTGTATTGGTTTGCTAATTGGTTGCGTTATCGCCAAAGCGTTTTGTTCGTTGTGCGGTATTTTACCGGTGGATAACGTGCAGTGCCCTCGAAGACAGTGAACGGTCAGTAGTAGGGACGGGATAGGAACTAAATTCGACCCGGAACATCGAAATTTGTCCGAGCCGTCCGATACTTACCGAACAACATTTTTCTCGCGTTTTAATTCGAAGTCAGGGTTTAGAATTGAAAGAACCTAAATGTACGTTTTTACTTGAGATAAGTTTAGATTCTGATCAGACCGAGAAACGTATTGGTTTTACAATGATGCTTATGTATTTGTTATTATTTGTTTTTTAATCTGTAAACAACTTTTCTACCAACGGTTTTACTTCGATTAACAACGATAAACACTTTTTCTGAAATAGAAAGTCATTTTTTTGAATTTATTATAATAAATGGTGAAACCCGGGGAAAACGGGAACATATTATGTATAATATTAAACAAATATTATTAATGAAAATGTATAATGTGTATGCAATTATTTTACTATAATATGACATATGTACTGTTAACAAAGCAACACTATTAACCGAACTCCGTTCAGGATCGTTTTTCGTTAGCAATGGTTAATCGTTGCGTACAGATATATACATTAAATTTCCCCTCTATACCTTCCCAACTTCTCAACTACAACAGTGGCCCACACACGCGCGAAGTATGTTCGTATTTTTAATAGTTTTTAATAGTTAGTACGGTTCGAAAATAATACATTTCGTAAATATTTCCGTTTTCCCCCTGTTTTTCTCTCATTCATTATAAAAACCTCTGAAAAGATCAAAAAATAACCTTCTCAAAATACCATCCCGAGAAAATTTCCTTTCGGAAAATGCGCTACACTTGAAAATCGGAGCGAAATTTCTGATGGAAAAGTTGTTCGCAGAAGAAAAAAATAAACATCATTGTAAAACCATCTTAATGCCTCGCTCCGCTCAGAATCTATAGCGTAACAGATAGGTACTGAAATAACAAGAATATAATATGTGTCTAGACATAACTTTTTACTACATTTTAAAATAATGCGAGCAAGTAAAATAACGTGTACAAATATCAGGCCGCCGCGCGGGCCATCCGGAAAATGTCCGTTTCCGGACCGGCCACTCCGCCCCCGGGCAGTGTAAAACGAGTAGTAGAGACGGCAGTTTTCAACCGTTCGCTGCAGATTCCGAATACACCTGGTTGCCGAAAAGTGCATTCAGCTGTCCAGCAATGTGTCGCAGCAAACAATATCGCCAAAACGGTTTGTTCGCTGCACTGTTATAATGCACAGTGACCGGGTTGCTCGAAACTGCACCGCCAAAACACGCCTAATATTATATAAGATAGGTTACAAAAATAAGTTACGTTACCTACAACAAAAAACGTATTGTAATTAATGATGGTTCAAATTTATTCGTGAAATCAATAATATACTATTATAATGTTTTACTCTTTTTTTCTTCTTTTTTTTATATTTGTTCGTAAAACGAATATAATAATTGCATTACGGGTCGTCGCCCTTCGGTCGGAAAACACGATCAAAAATTATTATAGAAAAAAAAACCCCACATAAATATTTATAATAATAGGCGTAGATACCGAAAGTTCACGCCGCATTCGGCACGGAAATGAACACTTATTAAATTATAATATTTCGCACGCTGTACGGCACATGTAGAGGAATACGGTTAATAATTATAATACACTGTTTAGCAAATATAAGTAGCTAGGCATTACCGTTAAAACGTTTTGGAACCTCTATGAAAAATTAAACTTTCCCAATGCGATTCGCATATTATTGTATAATAATATGATCGTGATTCGATGACGATCCCGCCGAATCGTTTACGAGATTAAAAATGAAAAACATAATAAATAAATAAATAAATAGGATTCGGAAATGAGTGTGGGATGGCGGGAGACGTTAATATTTATATTTATTATCCTAACGCAAACTAACGCAACTTTATAATAACATTATCGTCGATAACATTAGCGTATTTATGAGGAGGGGAGAGGGCGGGTAGTATAGGGAATAGACACCACCCGTTTGACCTTTTTATCTGTTTTTTTTTTCCAAGGTACCCATCAATAACATAGAAAGCAGTACTTTTAATAACAGTTTTATTTTTCACTCGATGCATTCGGCGATTTCAGCGCACACATCGGAAAACGGGATAATTTGATACCGTATATAGGTACACACCAATCAACGCTATAAAATAGCACCGACGATAATACCAAAATCGTATCCAACCATCAATGTGTTATTAAAACTTAACCTAACCGTCACACTTCACGTTCGTATCTTCGTTATTTGACTCGATTATCAGCTGGATTAGAAATCCTATGTATTTTGATGTTTCTGTATAGAATATTGTATTCGTATTGTAGATTTCGATGCATCCGATGGACAACTAACAAACATGACTGTGATAATCGATTTGATGTACAATCGGATTGAAAACTATACGAGTTAAATTGAAAGAATGAGAAACTAGCTGAGGAACACACGGACTCCTGAGCGATCATTCTAAATGTTTTTTTTTTTTTAAATATAGATAATAATTTATACCTATGCACGAATAAGTAAATGTGTTTTGTTATGATACACAGGTTAATTAAAAATGTATGTTGCAGCCATTTCATCGTGTAAATATTCTAAATAGAGAAAAATGTATGATACAAAAGTTTTCCGACTTATAGACATTTAAAATAATTTGAGTTTATATTTGTTTACAGTCTTCTTTAGAGGGGTTTTGAAAGTCAGGTTTTGACATTCAAATGGAAACCTATATTCGAAATTCCATAAATAGACGGAGTATTAGTGTAAGTGCATTTTGGTATTGATATTTTTGATTTTCGTCGAACCATCGATCTCTCTCCACGCACAGAATCAAAAAGACGGAGACAGCCTTGACAGTTCGCAGAGCTTTTTACCTGATCCCCTAAACGTCTGGCTCCTCGTGTATACAAAATAGTACACCTTATTACAGCTGTAATTATTTATTTCTGTATTCCATGTATCTACACATATTTATAAATATTTAAATTAAAAACTGTTTAAGAGTTAATTAGTTTTTTATCTTGCCACAGAGAATTTGAGATAACAATAGATAAAGTTATCAAATGATTTGTGCTTGGATAAAATAGAAAACTTGTATTCATATTTCACATTATGAATTGATAAAACAAATTTAAATAGAATGTTAATATTATTATATTATAATATTATATGTGCATTAATTGTATATTCCACATTACCACATCAAAAAAAAAAGAAAAAAAGTTATTTACGACACTGATAGTGTCATATGAATAAATGATAATTTTATCGTCATGGCAACCTCAGCCTCTCACCCCCCTCTCCACTTCGCAGTAGGAAATAAAAAACTTATCATTTAAAATTCGATTAAAATTATCTATACCTACATGCAGTGGCGTATCTAGAACTTATTCAAAATTCCGTGGCAATGAATTGTAGATTACAAATTGAGGGCCAAGTACAGGGCCGGCGCTAGAGGGCTGTGGGTCATGTACCACTATTTATATACCAAAGCGAAAAGACCGATAAGCAAAAAAAGGCCAGCGCCGGCTCTGGCCAAATGCACGATCCGAGTGAATAATGCCTTTGGCTCTGATTATGATTTAACGCTCCTAATTGTTATGGGCCCGTGGCGCACGGCCTGTCATGTCATCCTATCGGTACGCCACTGTCTACATGCCACGTGGAAACCTTCTGACTGCAGAAATATATTGGTTTGTATTTTTATTGTATAATATGTTTGTCGTTTCTATAACATCACTCTGCCGTCCACCGGACTTCGACTTAATGAATAACATTATTTGAGCGTATATAACCGCTAAGTAATTGCGTAGAAAAATGACAATAATAATGTAATAATCGCGTTTGAATTATGTAATTGGGAAATTGTAGATCGGAACACTGTAATTTTAAAATAAATCATAGTATGGGTACCAATGTTATGTTCAACGACACAGGAACCTAATAACTTTATGCCTACGGATTATCTACTCGAGTGTTACAGCTAATGGTACCTTGTAACACGCGTGTATATTAATTAATAGCGTACTTTATGTTTTTTTAATAGACAGTGCCATAATGTAATACGCACAGTTCGTAATGTTTTATATTATACCTAGTCGTGTAGTGTAGGCCCATATAGATAGGTTGCATATTGTATACGTATATATTGGTAAGTGTAATGGCATTTTCCTTTGTCCGTGTAATATCGATTATCGCGGGCTAGTATTATATAAATATAAGCAGCTGCGTACGTTAATGCGCTTGTTATTTTAATGTTATTATAACGGCGTGGTATTTAAATGTAATATAGGTACTGGCTCGGCATTTGGAAAACAGTCGAAATTAAATTCGGGGTTAAATACGATTGGGAACACGACGAAACTTCGATCGTTTTTAATTTTATTCAATATTGTAAGTAACGCGGGATCCGTCGCTGATTTGGACCGTTTTCGCGAATAGTGGCTTACCTGTATGTGTACCTATAATACGTTACGAAACGATGCAGGTGCAGTACAGTTAATTAACGCCCGCATTCCTGAAAACAATACTGTACACGGAGAAAAATAACGATATACTCGGGAGACGTCTGGCGCTGTAGGTCATTCGTATAAATTACTAGCATTTCGTTCCTTGTTTCCCCTCGTATTGCGGT